TATATATAGAATTGGATCGGAAAATTATTTAAATGACGCACATTATTTCTGCATAATAATAATAATAATGATCGTAATACTCCTTGTAGTACTTTTCTAAAATAAACTAGTAATACCATGCCTAAAAAGAGGCTAAGTCAACACTGGACAATGAAGCGCGTAAGAGGCTGCCATTGCTTCTTCTTATTTCGTCTATTGCTGGTCCGTTTCTAGAACGAATATACTAAATACAGAAGTACTTCGGTGAAGCCGTCTTTCCACAGTTCGCACTCCAAACTCTAACCGGTGCCTGGCGCCGTACACGTGGTTTTTATTCTCATCATACAAAGTGGAGTAAAAATCCTAACTTCTGACATAAACACAATTTGTAAGCAGTGTTATATTATTGTTATTCCCGGTATGTTCCTTGCTTGCCACGTACTCGGAATTGCACTATACAGAAACCCCGCATTCTAAACCATAGATAAGGGGCCCACTTAGAGTATGTCATCATCGGAATTATCAATATCATTCAGTTTTCAGACAATGGTCCATTTCATATTTTTATAACACCTCGCTACTATATATATAAATATATATATATATATGTATATATATATCTAAATAATCTTCTGTACGCAGTATTTTTTTTCGTTGTGTGGCAAGCTTCATGATTGCCTGCCGTTATGTTAATGTGTGTATGCGTCTTTCTGTAAATTGTCAATAACTATCCGTATTTCTAATAAGAGATTTCTTGTTGGAACACAGTTTATCGTGAACACAGCTGATGAGGTTTTTCTGGTCGGCCAATATGTGGCATAGTCATTATGAAGCGTCATCAAGAGATACCTCGGTTTTTCCTTTTGGGAAAGAACGAGGGCGGTTGTATGTAGGCACTTTAATCGAATTCGATGACCTGCGTTACTCCAGGCTCCCCAGTAAGGTCCATGTTCTTCTCATGACGCTTCTCATGTGACTTTAAATGATCCTTGCGATGAGTTCGATACGTACAGTATCTATGAACGTAATACAAATCAGCGGTTATGTTATTAGACAACATGTTACAAACAAACTAAGGGTCGATAACAATTTTCCGTGGAATAGAGCGCATAACTTACGACTTTGGTTTCTTATTAAATAATACACCCAGTTGCTGTTATTTATGAATTTCAATCCAATTCTATATCGCATTTGAAACTTGTGCTATATACATAATTTAAAATATGTGTAACAAAAACGTCTATAAATTAGAAACAGGCACGGAAATCTTAGTGCAAGGAGGGCATACTTCGCCTTGGTAACTCCATTTCAAACTCACCTGCATGGCCATAGTTTCTCAGGGATCTGGTGCCGCGTGTTTACGTGCCTCTGCACGTTTGCTCGATTATTAGACGTATAAGTGCACTCGGGACAATGATAAACGTTTACCCGGGAACTCACCGGTGAGTTTAAGGAGAGATTCTGTGGTGAGCCTGTAGAGCAACAAAAGTTACCAGAAAATCAGCACATCGTACATAATGACTAGCGGCCATGCTTTCGATTACCATGTGGACCGCTTATCAACTACTGGACTTTCTGGTGGTTCGTGTGTGCACAAATGGGGCCATATCTCCTAACAGTAACAGCAATGGTGACACCATGTTGGCGTGCTGCCCGATTTAACTGCTATGTGCATTTAGTTGTTGTCTGTCTAAAACAATGCACACCTTTAACTCATTGCGTATTAAATATGCGCGAGTGGCAAAGGCATTACAGCCAGTAAACATCGATTGAAAACAACCCTAAGACAAGGGCGTCGCAGTGAACTAATATTATTATACTTTAATTAGAGTTCATTTTGACGTAAAATCAAATAAACATTTTGCGACATGCTATATCTAGAGATCAGCTTTATATGTAGTGTAGTATTACCAAGGTTCCTATTGATATCTCTAAATATTTATATCTGTAGAAATATCTATAGAAAATGACACTTTTATATCATTCTCTCCATCCTGTCTGTTTTTAGTTGTTTTCCTTTATCGGAGCATCTCATTACGGAACACAAATGATGTTGGACACCAATATCTTCGAGAACGCATAATACGCACGAAGGTTCTCTATGTCAGAATCAGTACTCAGTCCTTATACAAAGACCCTTATCGTATACCTCATAATGACTTACTGGGACCCGGGGACGGCACCCTCTCAAAGTCTCTCTGCTCAGGTGGTGGAGGTGCCAAACTGCGGAGAAGGTTTGCTTGACTCAAGAAGTCCATGTTGAGCTTTTGCATCGACGAGAAATTTTTCAGTAAAAGATCCATTGCCCCGCCTGTAATATGAATCAGAGTCACATTACAATCTATGAGATGTTTTCATCATACACACGTTGCTTTGCACCATCGAGAAGACATTTAGTTAGTATAATCATTTAATAATTATGTCTCGTGTAACTCGAGCACTATCTCAGCCTATTAGTTTCTTCTTAATACCTATAGTAGTTTGCACTAAAAAAACACAAATCAAGAACATCTTCAGCTGAGTAGGTAGCAAGGCAATCTCAACTGGTGGCAACGGCGTGTGGGCGCCGTCGGTTGCCTGCTAGTGTATTACCACGGAGATAAAATGGCAAAGTATTTTTCGAATTGCGATTTCGAAAACTTATTCATGTTCAAGTTTTCAGACAGAAATTTCAAAAGACCATGTGAAAGTCGTTATTGCACATTTATTAATGACAATATGCAGTAACAATCTCAATTTCGTCGGAATCGTAGCCTTGATAGTTGAGGACGGGATAAGAGTCGGCAGCGGTGGCTGTGACGACGAGAAGAATGAAGCAGGTATGAGATCCCAACAGAACGCTCGTGCTTCGGAACAGCAAAGGTAATGTTTAACCTTGTTGATTATCTGCGTAACCGCCAGCCTGGTCCCACATCACACCGTTGTCGAGTTACTGTGTAAGCTATCGTACAATTACCCATGTCGTAGTTGTAGCGGCGTTCTGTAGCAATATTTCAGCTAAGCGGACCACCTGTAAGAACATGCGCTTGGTCACTGTCTGCCGTTGTTCGTAGTTTTGCCTATATACTTCTTCTCATAAAATAGACGTGATAATGGCAAGTAGCTGTGTAATGATGGCGTTGTCTCTCTATCTACGCTTGCCCTTTCTCTAATCTATATCGTGGTGCGGTTATCCCCGAACGCGCGCTTCCCATATGAGAACGAATGGCCTTGCTCGTTCTAGATGTCTGGCCGTCGCTCTGGGAAACTCTAGCCGCTACTGGTGATCGCGGGTCATTTGACACACTTGAACAAGTCCGCTCTCACGGTAGCAGACTTCATGATAGACTGCACAGTTAGATTTTCCCACAGTCCAAGCCCGCGGGCCGCGCGACACCCGTCGCGCCACTTCTCACTATACGGACACATTTGCACGACTCTGATGAACAGCTGATCATTGCGCCTCACCGAGATCACTGGGAACGAAAAAGGATAGGCCTAACTCACGACCTCCATCTTGGGAGTTTCCCACTTTCTTCCCACTGTGCCCAGCCCTAATGGTCGTCTGCGAGGCAGGTTACGCATTACAACGGGTGGGCTGAACGCCCCAAAACACGGTTCTATCTCTGCACGTTGGACTCTAGCAGGTTAGAAATAGGAAAAACTCTTCACGGGAACACAGAAAACGAACTAGGATCGAATAAGGCACATATTGCCGTCGTTCGTACACCTTCTGCTCCTCGGGAAAGCAAGATGGGTGAACACAAGGGATATGGAGGTACTAGGCAGCCCTGCCGCGGCTGCTGCTGCAGTTGTGTGTTACATGGGGCAGCCAAAACTAGCAGCAGGCAGACAGACATAATGGTACTGTAACCACTCATGTTTATATTTGTGGCCATGTACAGCTCTGGCTCCACGTCGGGCTCACGAGGAGCGCCATGGAGTAGCTGCTGCACCTACGAGCTCGATGCTTTTAAGGGGGTGACACGCTCATTGTCCGTTCACGAAATGCTGGAACGTGATTTTCGCCAGAAATGGAATTGGAAATGCTTAAGATTATTGTACGAGTAACTTTTATTACGTTTGAGATTCAGGTATGAAGTTCCTATTAACTAAATGGTTCATACTGACGCCTAATTGACATTTTAGTGTTTGGGTCGTGAGTGCTGTAGTCGTGAGTCGCGCCACTATTTCAAACCTAAAGTCATCTTGATTGGCGGACAAATCCAGCCGCATCGAGTCGCTGTCGTCATTATCGGCCATCAAGCAGGCGCTGCGCGCACTGCTGTTCTTTCTTCGTTAACTGCGCTTTTTTGTTTTTTTTTCTGCGATTCGGACAGTGTGAGAGAACAGTCCGATGATAGAAAAAAAGTATTTAAGAGGTAGTTTCGAGTTGTGTTCAGCTCGTAAAAATGATGATCTGAATATGAGATAGTAAGGTGGTCTTTAGAACATTGTTGTCGTAAGTAAGGCTTGCACATACCGACTTTGCAGTTGTTTACAGTCATCGAGAGAGAAGAACACCGGCTTTCATCAATTTTGAATTGGTAAAAAATTATGGCTACCAGTGGACACGTTTCAAAAGTACGCGATGCATGCATTGAACGTTTGCTGGCTCATGAAAGTGCCGCCGTAGAAGCAGCCAAAGAAAAGTTAAAAGAGCTTAAAGAAATTGAAAGCAACTACTTGCAACTTAAAGAACGGTGAGTTGGGTGACCGAGAGAAAAGTTAGCGAGGATTTCATATTTGTTTGCGTAGGCAATAAAAGCGGTAGAATATATTATTACTTGTATATTCTTTCTTCGTCAAAGAGAAACACTGCTCTGCTAACTGATAGTGTGTATAGAACTAATACGTGCGTAATGAACGCAAAAAAATTCTTGATTGATAAACGAAAAATTAAAGAAAATTGGAGCAAATTTATTTTTAAACTCTAACCATTTCTTCCATCGATTGCTTGTACTGAAGATGGAAAGCACTATTTTCAATACATTTTTGTAAATATAGCAATGTGTGAAATGAAAAGTATCTATGCTAATGAATGCTACAATATTATGTTTGTGTGAGCATTCTATAAACAAAGGAAGCTAAATTATTATTTCCAAATTTTGCTCCGGAAGCGCTCAGTATCGGTGCTATTGTTTTTAATATTTCCACGAAGAGTGTGCAATCTGTATGTAGTTGCTGCTTTGTCATTGAAGACTAAGATTCCCTAAGTGGATTCTTGAAATAAAAAAATGTTTCCTTGTTTTGTTGAAATCCTGCCGCCTTTGCAAAGTGATTCCTGTTAAAGTTATTCAACATTTTCGTTTTTTTGTTCATAGATTGACGACACTTCCAACAAGGCTGAGCCATTCTGTGACAGTCCCGCTTAACTCAGTTGGATTCTTTCAAGGTCAACTAATTCACACAAATGAAATCAGCGTATTGCTTTCTTCTGAAATTCTCGTTCAGGTGGTAATCTTTTATACAAACGCTTTTTTCTTAGATGGTGGATCGTTATACTTGATTATCTAGTAACAAGCTAAGTGCGCCTTATTCAAATACACGGTTGGTTCGCTGCCTCATGTTGAAGAGCAAATTGCTTAAAATATGAGCATAACTAGACATTAGGTTGCAGTTGTAGAAAGATGGGTGGCGCGCAGATTTTTAATTTCAACCATCCACTGATCATTACATATCGATTGTTAATCCAAACTTTATTCATGAACTGTAATTTTGCAGGTAACTGCTTCGAAGGCACTTGAGATATTAAATCGGCGTGTTGGAGAAATCCGTTCCCGACAACAGAAAACTAAAGAAGAGATCAAGCATTTCAAGCATTGGAAGGAGTACACTGTTAAAGCAACGGGCACTCCAGCAGCTGGAAGTGAAAGCGACGATGGCATGGACATCAATGAGGAATATAATGAAGAGCGTGAGGCCGAATGGAGAAAAAAGCACTTGGAAATGTATGACTCAACAAATATCACTTGATTACCATTAGAAGCATAAGCTTCATACAGCGAAGGCATGTTTGTATTTAGTACCTTTTCTTAGTCTTTTTTAAATTTTTGCTTGAAGATACACTTTAATTCATGCTTACATGTTTTTATTAACAACGATTGCTTTGATCGCTGATATACGTGCACAGATGCTTCTTTTATTGTTAAAACTATTGGATTGAAAAGTCGTAAAATTTTTTTCATAGTACAAATTTTCCTTATGTAGCATTACATAGCAGCCCATAATTACACAAACAAATCTGCATTATGGATCTTGATGCATTGTGCTGAATCAGTAAAAACTATGCTGGGGTTTGAAAGCAATCAAAGAAGATTCTGAGTTATCGGGATAAACAATGTTGGTTGACCTCTGTACTTATAAAAGTTATTGGTATTCAATTGAAGAAATACTTTGATCTTTCGAGTCTAGATCTTAAATTTTTAGTTCGTGTTCAAACTTGGATTAATAAGCTTTCGAATTCATTACATATAACAGCATAAAATACGCCTTGTATATCTAAAGAATATCGGTTGCTTATCCTTTGAATAATTTGAGTTTCCTATACTCATCGACAACTTTACATTCTACTTAATTAAAAATTTGCCCTAGGGTGCGTAGAGAACGTGCGCGCGAACGCACAGAGCTCAAGAAAGTCTCGAACGACGTTGACGAGGAGGCACTTTGGCAGAGGCTTGAAGAACTTGAACTGGAGGAACAGATGGAACGGTACGAAGAGATGAGAAAGAAACAAGCATTTCAACAAGGCAGAGACCATGATGAATCAGAAGTTCAAGTGCAGCTTCGATTACCAGAGAAAGACGATATGAACGACATTGTAGTCAATAAGCCTTCATCCAGCTTCAACACCGTTATTCCTAATTCATCAAGCTGTCCTAAAAGCATCTTGAAACAATGCTCATCTGAAATCAACCTAAAAAATGTGCATTTTAAAGGCGAATCAGAGACACAAAAACGTTCCTATCAGTCCTGTGCGATTGATAGCGATGATGACGAAGAGCCTGAAAAAAATAATGCCGATCAGGAGACGCCCTTTACCGGTCTAATCGTTGAACGCAGTAGTTATAGCGGCAAGCCTGTTGGGGAACACATTTTTCCTCAAAGCAAGAGAATTTCACGCTTTAAAGCTTCACGAATGTAAAATATGTTATTGTAAATTAGGCAAACTGAAAAATCCGTGGCGTTCAATGCTGTAGCTAAGTAATAAGTATATATTGTTTTAGTTTCTAATAATTAAGTTACTGTTTGCGTAAAAGTATCTTAGTCATTCACGCCAGACAAGTGAACAAACGAAAGGTGGTAAAAATGCTTAACCCAAAATATGTGCGAAATGTGCAAAATAAAGATTGACGATATACACAAATTTTTGTAATAAAAATGAACATGTTTATCTATTATTTACTTTTTATTAATATTGAATATGTAGTAAACGTACTCTTTAAGCAGGAGGAATGTATCATTTACTACTCAGAAATAATAGCTTTTCTTATGTTTTCATCTCCTTTACCAAAGCCTATTACTAGAATTATCTTTTATATATAGGGAACTCATTATTCCATTTCTAAATTTTTTTGTGCGGTGGAGGATTTTTAATTTCTTCGAGTTGCCGTTCCAATGATTCGAGCTCAAGATCAGGGATCTCCCGAACTTCGGTGTGTTCTGGCAGATGTTTATGGATGCTGACCGAAACTCCTGCAGCAAGATTTTTTTGAATTAGGTCAATTAGCATTCCCGCTATGATCCCGGGAAGCATTTCCAGTTGGACATTTCGTTCGTATATATTAAGTTTGTAGGTTTTGTCCACAACTGTTGATTGTGGATTAAATGTATGAAGTTCAAACGCTTGTAATGGCGTAGCCCATGTTTCGGTGACGCTGACATTCAGCAGAGCGGCTAATTTCTCGATCCTCCGCGTTTGTTGTTCCAATACGACAAAATCATAACCTTTTAACTGGATGTTCAGCAGGCCCTCATGCACGGGTGTTGGTGGCTTCAATAGCTTGAGATATGGCGGCTCAAAATTGCCGACGTTCCGTCGAATCGGTGCGAACTTAGCGCTCGACCGTAAGCTCACTAGAGCTACGCGATGCATCCTGATAGAACACCAGCTAAGACTGAAATCCGACGTGACTTTAATAAAAATACTTTCAATGGTCGCACACTACACACGAACAGCATATTCGCGATAGCATTTCCATTAATGTTGTGTTCGAAATGTTTGCAACATCCTTGTCTACTGCTACAGAAAGAGTCCTTTGCTAATGCTTGATGGAATTGATGGTGGAGATAAATAAAGTGATTATTCGTCCTACGACTAGCCGAACAGGTGGCAGAAGTTGATTATAATCGAGACAATCACCCACCGTGTAATTCTTAACCCTATACGTGTAAGCTTAGCAGATTCGAATGTGACCTGATACTGTAAACTGTATATATTTAATTAACACCACCATCGATGACGAGTGGAAAACCTATCCATCAAGAATTACACACATTACCTGTATGTGTCCCGGGCGGTCGCAAATATGAATGACGCTTATTCATCCGATCTGTAAAACTGGTGTTTTATGCAGGTTTGAGTGCGACTATCGAAGCAAACTGCGCTTTTTGAGTTTAGCCGGTAGAGCATACGTCTTCTGGGTTTGCGTGGCCTCCGTCATGAATTTCACTGGTTAGTATGGTATAACATGACGCATCATGTCGAACGCCGAAGCTTGGATGAGCTACAGATCGAATCATGTTACGTATATTGGTTTCCCTATGCATCTCTGTCGTACTTGTGGTTTAGAAAACACTTAACTTGTTGGAATTTTTATTTCTATTATGATTTTTGGGAGAGCGTTTGATACGCATTTGACTATCCCGATATCTCCACAACATCCTCCCGTAGTGATTAGTTTTTTTTTGAACCCTATTATATTTAATTAACTGGAAGTTTTCTTGTAGAAGCCCGTACCTTTCTGAAGAGATGTCGCGAAGAGAATGACCGTCAATCAGAGAAAATCGTCGAACTCTTTAAAGACTCGATTTTGCCTTCTATTAGTAAACTGGGCGATGAACGTAAGTGCATTCTTTCTATTTATAGAAATAAAAAAAAACTTTTCTTTTTTAATTAATATATATTCAGTTCAATGATAAAGTTGGCTTGGTCTAGGTGCCCTAATGCTCCCCAGAAAGTTATTATAGCTTATTCTGTATAACAGGTCAAAACGAGACTGTTCAATTGACTCTGTGTAGGATTTTTTTCGCAGAAAGTGGTCTGACTATAAGGTGCATATTGCAAATTTTCTCGCAGTACTTTCGAGGGCAATTACTGTTGACGCACGAAATACTTCATCATAGATTTAGTCTGGGGATATTGTATCATCGTGTATTAACCAGCTGCAAATCTAACGGGTAAAGCAAATAGTTTGGTAGTAGTTTAACAGGTGATCCAAAAAAGAGGCGATCTACACCATTCAATGTAGAGGTATTAAACTCACTAAAGAACCTTTTTACTTAAGAATGGACCGTAGACTGTGCTAAAAGCAGTATCGAAAAAGGTATTACAATGCATGTACTTTTTAGATTGATGTGACAAGTAGAGCCACTGTGTTTTCAGGATGGATTGTCTATGAACAGGTAGCGATCTCCTCGTTCGACGTACGTGATTGGGACCTGTCAAAGGTAAATATATTTAATAGGGTAGTCATTGTTCGTGGTCAGAAGTTTTATTATGTACGATTGCCTTGTTAAACAACAGTCATTTTAATCTACAATGACTAATTAACGGCTAAGGCAAACCATCTTTATCATTTACAATAATAATAATACTTATTGTGATCAATTTAATTATGTATAAGTAGAAGCTGATGAATACTATACTTGATATGATAGAGCTTGTGCATTTCTTTCAGCAATGTCTACAACAGCTCAGCCAACAATATCCGGGAAGTCATCGTGTGCGGCGCTTGAAGGCGATGCAACAAGAGGCTCTCGGCCGGTTCGAGGACGCTGCAAAGATCTATGATGCATTGTTAGCTGAAGATGAAACAAACGCGTCTGTTCACAAGCGGAGGATCGCAATGCTCAAAGCGCAGGCCTTAATACCCGAGGCTATCGAGAAACTTTGCGACTATCTCAAAAAGTAACGAAAATTATCCGTCTCAAATATTTTTAAATTCTAGTTTCTTCAAAATGTTAGAGTTGTAACTTCGATTGTTTGCGCATTTCTACAATGTCCTGTAACGAATGCTCTTATTCCATCGTTCTGAAAAAAATAAATATACGAAATGTTTCGCTTTTGCAGATTAATATTAATGAATATTTACTGAAATAGATTTCAGAGCGATCAAGAAGCTTGGCTGGAACTGTCCAATTTATATATCATAGAAAATGACTTCGCGAAAGCCGCTTTCTGTATGGAGGAACTTATCATGGCTCAGCCTCATAATCACCTTTACCATCAGCGATATGCTGAGCTGCAATTTCTTATCGGAACGACTGAGAGCATCGAACTTGCCCGGTCATACTTCGCACAGGTAAGGTTTGATTGGTGTTTTTCGTTTGTTTGCAATACGCAAACAATTGTTCGAATATTCTAGATTAAAATAACCAACATTTTTTTAACAATCAGAGAACGAACGGATCCAATATTGCCAGTCTTTTTTTATTCACCAAAAACGCCAATAAAATCGACATGTAAGTGATCATTTGGGAGGCACCAACCTTCGCACATAATCATTATTATATGGATAATGTCTATTCATGTGAGACACGCATGCACTTTAATTGTAGGCACTCAAACTAAACCCTCGCAATCGATCGGCGTTGTTCGGGTTTTATACGACCGCGCAGTGGTTGAGCGTTTCACCAAAATTCTCCTTGCAGAAGAAAAAGGATAATCAGAAGTACCTTAAGTGGGCCGCTGAACAAATTCGAGCTTTGTATAAGGTAAATCATCTTTTCATCTACGCAAAGCAATTCTATTAAGACCGTATGGCGAAAATGAGCTAGAATGTTCACAGTAAGATACTAAATTTTCAGGATTCCATATCACATATCTCATTTTTAGATTAAATGTATTCAGGCTAAGGTTTTCAAAGATTTTATTTATTCAGCACAATGATAGTATCGATAAAAATATGCAATGTTCTGCAAACTCTAGGTCATAGAGTTCACTAGATGATTTCTTTTCCGCAATTATCAGTTAAGATTCTTAGATTGTTTTGCGATTTCTGTTTCAGCATCAAAGTAGAAACTTTTGATTTATGTGTATTGACGTTGTAGTCATTTTTCTTTTATTACAGAAAAATGTTGGAAAACTACAATTCAAGGACAAAGAAACGGAGCCAGCTGTAGAAGATCTCATGGCGCAATTGAGCATAGAAGCTCCGAAGCATAACGAAAAGGGCGACAAGTCGTCATAAACTATAAACATTATTTTAATATATATGGTTATACGACTGCGATTGCATGTGTATTATCACTATAGTTGTATTAATGTAACGTAAAATAATTAAAAAAGAAATATATATAACTTTTACTTTTCTTTACTTCTAAATACATTCCTTCGAAACAAAGCAGAGCATGAATTCTATTTCTATTCCGATATACAACTTTATTAACTACTGAAGAATGAAAAATGTTTTACGCAGAAAAGGATACATTCATTTGACGTATTAACACAACAACAATCTATATAATTTGTAGAATAATTTGCTTCAACTAAATCAACCTACGAAATGATCACCTGTCCAAGGGCATTTTGAAAAGTAGTAAGGGTCTTCCCACTCATTGCGGGATTCCCTTTGGAATGAAGCTGTAGCAAATGGTTGCACGCACTTACGTCAAAGTGTGGTAAAATAGGCGAAGTCTGAATAAGGCCATTCACCTTTAGCACCTTCAGGTGTAGACATTTTTGCAATATCGAGGCAAAATATTGGCCTGTACATTCAGCTAAACAATTGCTGATATCTAGCTCTTTCAGGCAGGGCATATTTTGAATCAACGAAACTACAGAGTCGATTCCTAACTTTCCTAGTGGATTGCAGGAAAGATCAACTGTAGTTAGAGGAAAATGTTTAAGCGCTTCAATTATTGCTGTGTCTTGAATTCCGCACGATGCGAGTCGAATCTTCCGTAACGCTGTAAGTATTTTAGGCAAGGTGCTGCTTATAAGGTTGGCAAAAAATTGATCAACGAAATTGTAACTCAAGTCAAGCTCCTCCAATTCGGAGCTTCCGAATTTTCCCAACAGATCGCACAACTGTTTTCCTCGAAAATTACACCCAATTAAATGAAGAACTTTCAAATTTTTAAGCTTGGTGAAAACTTCAATAAGTGCCAATAGCGCATTTGGGTCCACATGAACAAAGCTTAGATGCAATGTATGTAAATGCACTTCGTGTTTGAGCACAACCATTAGCTCCTGCGGAATTTTCATATGATCCAGTTCCAATTTGCCTAACGCGGTGGCAGCTTGACAGCGAGCTAGAATTTTTTTGCCCGCTAATTGATCACCGATTTTAACCCTAAAACGTTCATCCAAGGGAGGTACATTCCACGACACTACTATACCTTTAAGAACTGGTATACCCTGAATACACATAATCGGATCTGAAGAGCAGAGTAGTGCTCCGTCTTCTAAAGCAATATTAACGACGGGTTTAGTTCCCTCGATTGTCTGATATCTGTCGGCTGCCTGCTGTTCCAGATAAGCAATCGTTAGTGTTGAAAAGTCTTTTGGTAAGGGGATCGACAGAAGGCGGTCTTCTACGCGAACTCTCACCAGGTGAACGGGCGTGTTATTGAAGTTTGCAATGTTCACTGTCGGTCGTTCAGTATAACTGCAAACACCTAACGATGATGAACTTTTTTTTTCAATCGTCGTGTGCCCATCCGTTAATGTCGCATTGAGGATATCAAGATCTACTGTTGCTTCTTTAGGGGAAATTCTTCCGTTTTTTGTAGGTGTGCTGCACATTAGTGTTCGATCAAAAGCCTCCCGAACTGCATGGTCATCGTTTTCTTGCGAGCTATTCGAATCATCGCTTATGTTTCGCATCATAGATCGCTTTTTTACTTTTGATGCTGGCGGCGGAGTATGTTGGTGCCTGTAACATGGCAGATATATGAACGCAGGCAACAAATCTATCACGTTCTGTCTGTATTTGGTGATTATGTTATGAGGCAATGATTGCAATAAAAGTTCAACAGGAACTTAAACTTTGTCCCTTTGGGTCTATAAGGATTATTAGCGGTCGTGACATTTAATAATCCTTTCACATGTATTTCTTACGATGGTATTTACGATTTTTCGGGTATTACTAACCTGTTTCCTTTAGTTTGTTTTTGAAAAGGAATTGAAGCTATTGTGGGTAGATCGTGTTCACTGGTATCGACAGGTTGGGCATCGTCAATTCTTGGCCGTTTTGAGCGTACGACAACGTCATCTAGCCGTCTTTGTTTTTTCCTTCGTGTTTGTGCATGTCGAGGTAGGTCATCCTCAATTATAACAGGCTCAGAAGCTCCCCCTGAACTTTGAATGAAAGGAGATGGAGCTGTGATATGCTGATAACGTCGCCGAATCAGAGTCTTAAGGTAACGCACTTCAATATCAGCAGCCTGCAGTTTTTCACGCACAGCTAAATAAAAAAAATTAAATACAATAAGAGGTGGATTCTCTTATTTAGATCATGCTTTCTGTCTGACGTAATGCTAATGCTGTTCCGAGCATAAGACTCGAACCTTAGTTTTTAAGTACATAGTTTCTCTGTCTTTCTTGCAATGCAGTAATATTGAAATCAATTGACAACACTCACAATCCTGGATGATGATATAAAAATTAATATGGATAATAATAATGGATTACTTTGTGAATGCAATTAACAAGGATTGCGTAAAGCGCGATCTTCAGGAAAAAATAAAAACGACTTTAGAGCGTGAAGTATAATAAAGGTTTGCTTTCAGTGCCGTCTAGGGCTAATAATTTCTTGTTGAAACGTATTTTGTGATTGTAGGTAGTTGGAATGTATCGCTGTAAAATGAGTCTTTAAAAAGGAGAAAAAACGTCTCTATTGCTATTTCTTTTATTTGCAAAATTCGGTAACCTTCTAAAAAAAGTCTTACAATTGTCTTTGGTACGAAAACATACTAATACGTAAAGCAGCCATTGCCATTGATTTAACTTCTGTTATATATTAGATTTGTATTTTTGGAATGGCTCCTATTTTTTCAAAGGAGACAAAGGTTTTGACTTTATTTCAGCTGTTAATTAAATATCACAGTTATAAACTTACACATATACACTTCATCTTGGGTTTCGCAAGCCTCAAGTACGTCAAATGGAGTCTGTCCACGGATAGTCAAGGCTTTAGCGTTGGCTCCTTTGTCAAGGAGATATGACACAATCAGGTAGTTTCCTCCTGCCGCAGCTGAATGAAGAGGCGTTATTCTGAAAATGCAGTTGACTTCAACTAGAACTAGTGTACTATCGATAAACCATGCCACCTGCAACATGTTTGAAATATTTTCCCTTGAAAATTTAATTTACCATAAAGGTTAGCCGGAAATGGTAGTGCACATAAGAAAAGATGAGTTGACTTTTTTACATATATGAGAGATAGATTATCCAACGAAACTTTCTTCAAAGACAAATGGTGTATCCCATATCGTTCGATCACTGGACATATTTCCGAATAGAAGTATGCAGTGGAAGAATAAAGGTCGTTTAGTGTACCTGTGCGAATTATCTTTTCCTTCTCTATTGACCTGCGCGCCGGCTTCCACTAATGCCTTGGCAATCTCCAGGAACCCGTGATTCGCTGCATCGTGAAGCGATGATAATCCTCCATTATCCGTCGAGTTCACATCAGATCCTACGAAAACAAACCAAATTCTCACGTAACCCGAAATACTCGAAAATATCAACTGTATCTTCCAAAAGTGTCCAGTGTGGACGTTTTCTTTTTCTATCACGGTGTACAAGTTTTATTTAGATTATTTTCTGCCTCGTTTCGACCAGCCTTATTTACCTTGCGCGATCAGCTTGTTGACCATGCTCAGGTTTCCTTTGATGCATTCCTGTTGAAGCAGTGTCTCTCCTAGACCATTTCTTTTCTCAAAGGCCAGCCTACGCGTTATCGTACGAGTTCCTCTGGCATCGTTTGTACTAAGTGAACCTCCGCTTCCCTCCAGTTCATCCGACGGAGCCTCGAGTGACAGGTCGGAAAGGTTCACAGATGACTCTGAACCCGAATCTGGCGTCGAACCTTCAGCATTGTCGTCATCTTCTGAACTCTCGCCAAGTTGGAGGGACAGTGCACTCGACAGCGATTCCGCATCGGAGTTCAGCCCTAAGATTTTTTATTAAAATCAACTATTTGGAATCTTATGTATAGAATTGGGCAATACGTAGGTAACATGACAGAATACATAGAACAGGTTTACGGCATTCACGATTATTGATGAATAATCAAAATAGCATATACGTTAATCTTTACAGGGCTTGAATGATACTTGAATGAGCCTTGGTATATTTTTAAATGGCTTTGTAAATTTCCTATTGAAAGTATTTCCCAACACAAGTAATTACATTTATATTAAAGAAAAACTACCCTTGGTTGCTTTGAAACATTCTGCAGTAAGATGCTAGCCATATACCCGTAATGTCATCCATTAAATGGAACTACCGCATTGGCTATAGAGTTCTATTGCTATACAGACCGTCTTAATATCTCAAATATACTGCGAGTATATCTAGCAAGGCCTCTTCTAGCAGGTGTTTACGTTAAGTCTACGCCTTTGTTAGTTGCGCATTGAACTCTGCGTCAAGTGGAAATAATTAAATGTGAAAGAAGTTTAAACCACAGTATTGAGCCTTCTACGTCCCCTTTGCCGATGTTTTTTGAAATTTCAAGTAATTCAACAGAAAGAGGCCAATGACAGTACATACAGAGACTTCCAGTAACGCTCTATTAGCTACTATATTATGTACATTCGCCCGAATGACAGAGACAAAATAACTGATGGAACAAGAACATACTTTTCGGGTAAGCGTCACTATACACGGCGCTTACGTAAAAACTTGATGATCAAAAATGTTACTGAATCCAAGACATATTACTGGCAAATTATCTCGTTTACCATTTGCGTACATTCGTCTGAAATGATCTTATTCTTATTCATAAACACAATATGGTGGATTGAACAGTAAGGCGAACGATTCTCTTAGAGGTGCTAATATGATCATTGTTAGATAGTCCCAATTGTTCGCGTTAGTGAGAAAGGATGCAACGTCTGTAAGAGAAACGGTTTTGCTGTCAACATCACAATAGGCGCCTAGTGACATCCTGTTACCAGCAACATGTAAGAAAAGTCCACTGATGCAAAGCAGACGCCTCAGACGAAAATTCTTGTTTGTGATATTACAATATTTTTGTTTGCTCTGATGTAATAGCTGCATATTTAAAAAGCTGTAACGGATTGGCTTTGATGAATCATATAAGACCAAAAAGAGTAAGTATCGTACTGCCTTCTTCATTAAGTGTTGATATTTTTCACCTGTGTGCCTTCAGACCAAAATGAAAGCAAAAAGACTTAAATTACATAAAAGGTTATCTATTGTAACCTATGCGCAAGAGCGTAGAAGCACATCTTCCTTGCAAATGCACATTTGTAAAATATTTACGTATTTTATATTGAACAAAAAAAAGGTCAACCTGTACTTTAGTTACTGTTTTTTTGACAGTTTACTAACCAGGGCCGATTATTTGTTGCCAGAAGCTATTTTGTTACATACTAGGGTGAACCTTGGTAATAACAGCTAACTTTACTTCCCCTTGTGCACTTGTGCAGGACCATTGTAAATATGTGAGAGCATATCATTACATGAATCTTCCAAATGGATCAGTTGGACGAAGAGGTTTTACAGAACAGGTTGCGTGTTTTCTAGATGTGACACCAATAGATTTTTCTTGTGGGTAAGCCTATGCCACAAAAACTGACGATACTGAACGATTCCAAAGCCGTAATTGAATCAATAGCCTACCGTTAGTAGCAATGTACATTAATTCCATTACCTCGTATGTAAACAATAACAGAACTAAATATAATCACAAACAGTGTGTACATTTTTTTGTGATAAATCTACGCCTATAACCAACTAATATAATATAAAGCGTAGCTTTTCACATAACTAATTATTTTGGTATCGTCAACACCGAAATCCTCTTTTCAAATTTATCTGCAGAAAGAGCATAATCTGATGCTCTAGCTTCAAAAAGCAATGCTGTATATTGTAAGTCAGTTGGATGATATCTGACTAAACAGTAGCTTGCTTAAAACATGTATGCATTGGTGCTTATGTACTTAATAAACAAAAAGAAAGACGTCTATATATATATATATATATAAACCGAGAGGATGCCTATTTTTTTCTGAAATTTCTATTCGCTCTATTTTATAATATGCCTATGAAGCCACAAAAAGTTGCTCTAGCCTATAAAGTTTGTGCAATTTATGGTTGAGAAGTGTTATTCCAAGAAATGGGTCAAAGATGATCCTGTCTTCGTTTTTTGCAAATTTCGCCGTGATGCTCCTTGTAGTGTTCGACCAATTATGACGATCAAATTATTGCGATGTTGAGCAAAACCGACAAGTAAGTAGCCATGACATCGTCAAGGAAAGACACATACACTACCGAAGAGTCTTAATCTTTTTGAAAAACCTGGATACAGAAGCCCATGTTTGATGTCACGCAAATTACCGCAAAAGAAGTTATTCGATCGAATTTCCATCTGCGAAACTTCACAAAGACGCGACTAATTCGCACCATTTCTAAAGCGGTTGATCATGGGTGGTGGAAGGTAGATTACATATGACTGAGCTCAAAACACCCTGGCCAAAACGAGGAAAAGCTCCGCGATTTGTAGCTGTATGTTTGGTGGGATTGGAAAGAAATCGTGCACTATGAGTTGCTACCGCTTCACAAAACAGTTAATTCGGATCTTTACTCAACAACTAACGAGATTACCACAATGTATTGAGAAAAATCGACTGAAGCTAGTAAACAAAAGCGACGCCAAAAGTGACAAAGCCGCACGAGATACATCTTTAGCTACCGGGCTAACATTTGAAAAAGAAGTTTTAGTGTATTCACCGTATAACCAGGATATTGCACCATCAGATTACCTTCTATCCTGGTCTCCGCAGAACTCCTTTAATGATGTCAGTTTACTTTCAATGGAAAGATGCAAAAATCAAAAAAGTTCCATAGTGAGGACTACCAGAAAAAATCGTAAAATCATGGATAAAATGAAGCACAATAAGTTCAGCACTATTATTTTAAAATATAAGCAAAATTTGTTTTAATTTTGGTCTGAAGGCAGTCAATACTTTTTTGACACCCAATATTATATATAATATATAACCTCAGCCTTAAATCTAGGATACAACCAACACTTCCCAGTTTCTGTAGTACGGACATACCTAATACGTCAATTTAAAAGCCAAAGAACCACCTACAATATAGCCAAATTGGCATTAGATCTCGGTCATATGAGTAAGTCTCATATAATGTTAAATTATTTTTTAAAAACGATCGAGTTGTCTCCGTTGAAAGTACGCCAAGCATGAGAAAATGTGCTAGCAAAATGGCTTACATTGATTTCTTAATTTTTCAGGTTTTTAGAATGCAAACTATGTACAGCTGGATCGTTCCGTCCAATCAAAAAAATCTACTGTTAGTAATACTGTTGCTGGCAACATCTGTTATACAACTGTGTCAAGCAGCCCAACCTTTGCCACCGTCTTCGGCTACACCGACATGCACTACTCAACTTTCCTCTTACTGTAAAAGCAGCTACTCGAAAGGACCGGTACTTAGTGGAGGCCACTGCCGTATTATGCAGCAGTGCTGTCGTACAGCAAAAGATAAATGCCCCTTTGGTACAAATCTTTACTATCTTGGCGAAATCGGTACGGGGAATACGCCATGCTACGAATGTCTATAATTCTTCTTCAATGTCTTTTTGCATATCTTCTTAGTTATCTTACCAAAAGGTAGCCTTACCCTGTAGCCATTCAGTATTCCGTCTGTTGTATTATAATCAGGTAATTGTAACCGCTTTATAGCATAATTTCATGCATAGTGAAAATAAAGGTAATACGTAAAAACAAAATGTTTTCAATACAGAGATTCGTTAATTCATTTAGAAACTAGAGTACAAATAACAAACTGCGTTATACAAACAGTAATAATCAGATAAAACTTTCAGATTGTCTCCTTTTAATTAGCTAAATCTTTTAATTATCATCGACATGCAGTATTCTTTTGATGTCTTGCTTTTTGCGAAAGGTAGATTTTGCCCGCAGATAAAATGCAAGTTAAAATGAAAATAAAATATCAAAAATATAAAGTTTAAACAAGCAGTGACTTCTGTAAAGTCAATTCCAATATGTGTGCATTTAAATGTGACAATTATGCGAAGCTACCCAAACTTCATTCAAAATATTACGCTTATGGCTGATGCACAAATCGTTTCTAACACTAATTATTGTAATACTTGCCAAATAATCGGTTGTCAAAGATTACTCGTCTAAAATTTTTTGCCTGATTTTACAATTACACTAGTGTATATGCACTAAATTGGAGGTGATTGGTAATGTTCTTCTCTTGGAACTTATCGGCCGTGCTAGAAGAAAACGTGTTTGACTGTTTGCACCAACAAATCAGCCAACAACTTTGAAATATTTTTGCGATAACAAAGTGGTCCGGCAATCTATCTCTACATCATGAAAAGAACTAACAAAAGTAATTCACTGATCATAGTGAAGCTCCTATCGTTTAATGTAAACTTTCTCTTACGCATTATTCAATGCAGATACCAAACTAAGGTCATTAAGCTAATTGTCACAACGGTTATCATAGTCGGCTATCGTATGCATCTGACTTATAGATTGAATTACGTACAACTGAAATTCACAAATAGCGTTTAATACCAGCTATAAGTTTGATCTGGGCGGTTCAAGTGATAGGAGGAATAGTTCTTAGCAATATGGATCTTTTGTCAAGGAGTCTTCTACTGATGAATACAATTTAACCTTTTAAGAAGGACTGATGCAATTTAATCTATATAAAACAAGCTTTTTAGTACGTAGCACAATTAAGGAGCTTTGTTTTCTAGAAGAATTGATTCATATTGTTACATAATCACCGAAATATTCAGAAATATGCCAGTCTACTTTTGATAAAGTTCACACAATAAGTTCAAGTCCATGTAGCAGTGTTTGTTGAAACGCTGCCACCGCAACAGAAGAAGTAAAACAGACGAAACTGTGTTTGTCGTTAAATGTAACAACTTGAGCTGCTCATCTCACCACCGAGGGTTAAAAAAACCACCTTAAACATAGCAGAAATCAATTCCAATGCCACCCACCGATTTCACAGTACGCTTTAGCCAATTTGTCGTACACGTTCTTTCTGATGGAGCCCTGGCGGCATTTCGTTGCATTTTCCGTTGCTTTTCGGCCAAAGTTGAGAAGCTTTTCCTGATCTTTTTGCTTCAGCGCACAGTTGACCAGTGACAGGTAGACACTGCATAATTCCTCGTAATCATCTTCGTTTCTATAAGTAACTTCTTTCAGATACCAGATTTCTGCCTCTACGTATTCTGCTAGATCAGCATACGTTTCTGCAATTGAGCCGCACACAGCGGCGTATCTGTAAGAGTCGAATAAAACGTACGGAAGGCTATTTGATCTACGTAGGCTTAGGAACCCGAAAATCTCTGGTATAAGTTTCTGCGCTAGTGCCATGCTTAATAAATAAATGGAGTAAACTAAATTATTAGCCTTGAGCGCTGTTTTGTTACATCTTGCAGAGAACCTTATCATTTTTTGCACACGAAATGTCATGTTTTTACAAATTAAATATCATGGTAAGTTAATAATCTAGGTGGCCTATTGTCAGCGCAATCGCAGAATCAACAACAGGGATGAAGGCTTATATTGTTTACAGAAAGGATTTGTAGTTTTCGAAAAATCAGAACACTGTTGTGACAATCACGCATTAAAAATATATGTAACGAAACGGAGCCTTAGGCGTTAAATTGTATGTGTCTATCAAGGTTTATACATTAGAAACTGTAAGGTACTGTATCGTGGGTCTTCTTGCTCTGTGTCAACTATGACCCGCTATCACTTGTCTATAATAGGATGTGTTTAAGGACGTTTATAATCCAAATAAATATTGCAGCAATGCACCATTTTTCTCATTATGTATAATTACACATCCAGATTACTTTACCTATGTTGTTTCAATAATAAATACACATGCTTAAGAAACACACAAAACAGCAATCAATTTTACCAATACGGCTTTTGACAAGAATATCTTACCGTTTACATTTTTGCGCGAAGGGTTCGTCAATAGCCTTATAAGCTTCTATAGCTCCCAAATGGATTCCGACTTGAATTAGTGTGTCCCCTATTTTTTCAAATAATTCATTTTGCCCACTTTCTCCTGAGCGTAACAATTCATGCCACCGCTCCAAACGAATAGCACATTTCAGATATTTTATTAAGCTGAAACAAACATTTAGAAAAGTGCAAATATTACGCTATTCATATTGAACTAGTTGTGATCCGTCTAGATAAAATATATATTTTCAGCAAGTTTCAGGCCTGAATGGTTTAACAACGGACTAGCCATGACGGCAGCTTATCCAAGTATTATGACTCACTCAAAAATGTTGTTCAAACAACTTTCCAGTAATTCACGGCGATTCACAGCCTAAACTGGAGAACTGTTAGTTCAATCTGCTGGAGACTTTACGAAAAGTCTCTAGCAGATTACTGAGTTTACGAATACTCAGTACCAGTTTATTGAGGTCGACTAATAGACAAGTAATCAATACAACTACAATCAAAGTGTTTTGATTACTCAACAAAGACCACAACGTTTTAGCTCAGTTTAGCCCCCGTTTAAAATGTTCTATAGTAGATGTAGACACATGAGATATTATTGTTTATCACGAGCGAAGTAGCCAGAATAGTGGATGGGTTGCCAATAATACTTCGGTGGTAAGAATATCCAAAGGGTTCCACAATTCCTACCTGTTTCTTTTAGGTTCATCCATATTTTTTGCATAAACTCGAGCATGGTTCAGGGCCTGACGGGCATCCTTCCATTGAGACCCCACCATAAAGGCTACCCCTAGCAACATATACGCCTCACCGCGCCTAGCCGAATTCTTTGTTTCTCGACCAATAGCCAAAGCCGCTTTCGCTGCCTCGGCCGCCCCTGTGAAATCCTGTATATGCCCTCGTGCTTCCGACAACTCACAAAGCGTATTATACAAATCTGACTTTGATTCTTTGTCCAACTTTGTCCCAGACAACTGAAAAAAGAGATAAGTAGTTACGGTGGACCGTGCCGTCTAATTATACAGCGTCATGTTTATTCTAATAGCTCCAATTCGGTGCCTACAAGATCTTAGTGGCATGAATAGTACGGATGTTTAACATACAGCAAACGATGGTCAGAAGATTTTACAGGCATTCACGGCCTCGCAGGGCACTAAACGTCCATTTAAATTTCCTGCTGGGAGAATAGCATACAACTAAGGATTTTGGTTTGGGCTTCTTGGGACTGCATTTAAGTTTATATATAATTCAGCTCCTTTGTCGCACCTGACGAATGGCTTAACTGAAAAAAGGTTTTTCAAATTTTCCGAAAAACCATCCTGGATGTGCAAGCAGTGACCTACCTGTCGCAACGTGTAGATGGCACGCTCAAGATACTTGATTGAACCTTTATCATTACGTGTTCTCTGTGACGTCAGAGCAAGATTATAAAGCAATCTGCCACGCATTAGGCGGGCTTCCTCTACATCAAGCAGCTTATCCTTTTCAAACTGTAAGGCCAGCAAAAGGGCCGAATTGTAGAACTGGATCGCCTTGTGAAGGGAATCTGGTCATACATTTAGAAAAATAGAAACGAAAGTAGATTATAGTATATATTACAACCACCATGCGCCACTGAATATTACCTAATTTTGCATCTGATCAACGAGCCGTTAGTTGGTAAATCAACAAGTCATTGATTCCAAAAGCATTTTGCATCTGGCACATGATACAAACAATATATAAGGTCATACAGTAAAGCCATTTTTGATTAGATTGGGCGTACCTGGTGTTCCCTCGATGTCATATTTGGCGGCGTAAACTCTACCGAGAGTTGTGTAGGCCCGTTGTTTCTCTAAATCACTGGTTTCTTGCACGAGTTTGAGGTATGATCGAACATTTCGCAGCGAAGTATCTATATCACGTAACTCAAGATATGCTTCACCAATAAACCTGTAATAGTAAGAACAACACATTAGAATGAATTGTTTTAGTAGCTATGAAAAAAATATCTAAGGAAGGGTCTCACATAGCACCTTCATCAATATTCAAATAACACAATTGCGTAGGAAGCTGCCTCGTGCGATAGAAGTGAGCAAAAAATGTTCAAACGCCAAGCAATCCTTATTTATATAGCTAAGTTAAGACAAAGCGAAAAGCTTGGTAAAATATTTTTGAAAGAAAATGGGCCTCACTATTTTAGGTATGTGAATGTATATAGAGACGGTATTTACATGTTCACATATTCAGCATGTATAAGCAAGTAAAACACCGACTGATAATTGAACAGTAACAAATATACAAGAACCTCTAAAAGTTTCTGATTATTATTTTATTTATTGGAGTTCTATTCGTTCAGGTTAAATTTCACTTGACATAGAGCCATTGTAACACGCACAGAGATAAAAACACTGTAAAGATCTGCTCTAAGATAGCATTTATAACGGATCACACAAAAAACAGAACGACATAACTATATTGCACTAGCGTTTAGTGAAGTTTTGCAGTTAAGATCTAAATAATCACTGGTAAACATATCGCAAACAAGATACGATTTTTTTTTTAAATTAATTACCTACTATACTAATAACCTAAAAAAATACAACCAATGGAAAGGGTTATGCATACAAAAGCGAATAAATATTACTGCGCACGAAGAAACTTATGGTGTCCTACCGGTGACATCGTGCTAACTCGAGTTTCTGTCCAGCAGAGCTACGTAAGATTTCAAGGAGCTCCGATCGGACTTCAACAACCCGCTGCCATTGACGGTCCTCGGCAAGTTCGCACGCCAACTCTTCCAAAACGTTGGCAAGCTCGCGACGATTTCTGCGCTCGCGGGCATTCTGACAGGCTTTCTCTAATTTCCGGATAACCGAACTCATCGCCAAGATCAACAACACTTTTGGACAATGTATATGCTGTCACTTCTGCTGAACACAGTAGTCTCAATGTATGCTCCGCTCATACGTAGGGAAAATTGTTAGAAATTCTGACGTCTTTAACAGTTAAACCACGCAGCTGCTCTGGCTAAGCCGTCGTTGGTAATGACAATGTTCCAGTTAAAACCCACATCAATGGCGACATCTAAGCTCTTCTTCTTTCACGTCTCAGTGCCGCATCTATTGTTGCTTATCATATTTTTATACAAGATGCACTTCCGACAAATCGAACATTACGCACCCGTGAATTCGGATGGGCTTCAATATCATAACTTTCGCGCCACTGCGTGGTTGGGCCCCATGTTCAGACGCGACTCTTAATTGACCCTATAAATACTGTCATTCAATTGCAAGTACACCTATTGGCTAATCGAGCTTATCCTACTGTTCTTGAAGGTAAAACTACAGGGCACATACATTGTTCATTAGGTCCTGCGAAACGTTACTCTCTGTAAAGTTACCATAAGTGCTCGAAGCCAGGATCTGTGTCTGACCGCCAGTCACCAATACTGCAGAAGCAGTGAAGGTCGCTCAGTTGACCGAACCAGCGGTGCAATAAACCAAATATCGGCCACTCGAGTCTCGCTAATATCTGCAAACAGAGAGCCGCGCAGAAGATTTTCTGAGTCAATTAAGATGAATAAGTTTACCCGCATCGCAATCCCTCTGCGGACGGGTTTTGCGCGCCACATGTCGCAGATGCGAACCGTTACTCTCATCCCAGGCGACGGTATCGGCCCAGAGATTTCGGCATCAGTACAAAAAATCTTTGAAGTGGCCGGTGTTCCTATCCAGTGGGAGATCGAGGACGTAACTCCTGTGAGTGGACAATGCCTCAAAATCGTTTCTGTTTTGTATTGCTGTATCTTTGCCTTAGGTGTTTTTTTGGTTGTAGTCATGTCCGTTATTTGCCTGGATGAGTTAAAAAAAAAAGCCTGACATCGTTCTCTGATAGAATAGCGGCATGTTCCATTTAGAACCATCATAGTCAGCGCTAGCAAAACGTGTTTGTAAGGTCGCCTTGAGATGCTCCAGATATCCAGGTAATCTTTATCGAACGGAGTGATTCACATGGGAGTTTAGTTGTCTTTAAAAGCTCCGAAAGAAAGCATTATCGTGAGAATGCCATTACTATTACTATGTACGCTAGGTACAAGTCAACAGCTTGACCGTAATATGCCAACCTAAACGGATGTTTGCCGTGCTATTGATTTTCAGTCATTTCTAGTGATGTTTGTGGGTTATGACGATGTAAAATGACTAACGATGTGAGGCCATACAATCGAGGTTATTGAAGTCTAATATAACTTGTAAGATTGATACGACTAATGTCATTGTTACAGCGGCCTTTGAACCCTCATCTGGCATGAACGCACGCCCTGCCTGCGTAATTGCCCTTTCGAAGGTCTTTACAAAGAGCAGCTAAATGTTTTTGGGATTTTTAGACAGTACAGCAGGATGGAAACCGCAGTTGTTACCGGAAACATTAGAAAGTGATTTTACATTGAAAGGTGGTCATAAATAACCTTGTTCAGCCAACTTATCTAGTACAAGCTTCTAAGTAGTGCTACGTTTTTATGCTTCTCATGCGTTATGTTACAGGTTCGGGGTCCTGATGGGCGGTTCGGTATTCCACAGCGAGCAATTGACTCTGTGAACAAGAACAAGATTGGCTTAAAAGGTCCCCTGGCCACTCCGATCGGCAAAGGACATCGTTCCCTCAATCTTGCCCTCCGACAAGAGTTCAACCTGTACGCCAACGTCCGGCCTTGCCGCTCGATCGAGGGTTACGAGACGCCTTACAAAGATGTCGATGTTGTTACGATTCGTGAGAACACGGAGGGCGAGTATTCTGGCATCGAACACGAAATTGTACCCGGTGTCGTCCAGTCTATTAAGCTTATAACTGAGCCAGCTTCAAACAATATTGCTCGCTACGCCTTCGAGTATGCCAAAGCCAACGGTCGCGGCCAGGTAATTTTTGCCTAATGTAAAATGTTTGATTTTCTTGAACTGTGCGTTAGCAATGCCATCTTTGCATTTGGTTAAAGCGACAGCGCAAGAACGTGCGAGAGCGATTTAGTAAGCTATTTGGTCAAGCCATCAAAAAATATCGCCGGTTAATAACCTGCCAATTGTCATGTTTATTCCATCTTCAAGCTATCATTGAAGCAACACTATCCAAATGCTGTGCTGCAGTAGTTTCATTGCATCGGGATTGTCAGCGAAACATTTGTGCGATCGAGACTCAAACGCCCCAGGCAAAACAACACCGTAAAAGTTAAACATTGTTCATGTAGAACACCTTGCAAATGCATTCATGTTCTATACTACGAGATACCATGACCATGCCTTAATATATTCAGCTGAGGTTCGTTAGAAACAAAGTGGTACGAAATGATAGGTATCTAATGTTTTTCCAAATTCAAGTTCGTTGAGGCTAGATAAAAATGGATCTGTTAAGTCAACTTAGTATTATATTTTCCCATTTGTATCGGCAATAATACGCCCACATGAATAAATTGTAAGATAAATGGCATATAACTCGTTCAAAAAATCCCAATTCAAGATTGAACTAATTTAACAATTATTTCCGGTTACACACAGGTGACAGCCGTGCACAAGGCAAATATCATGCGAATGTCGGACGGCCTATTTCTACAGTGTTGCCGCGACGCTGCCGAAGCCAATCCTGACATCAAGTACAACGAAATGTACCTCGACACGTTGTGTCTTAACATGGTTCAGGACCCATCCAAATTTGATGTGCTAGTAATGCCAAATTTGTACGGAGACATTCTGTCCGACCTTTGCGCTGGTCTCATCGGCGGTCTCGGGGTGACGCCTTCGGGTAACATCGGCACGGACGGTGCGATTTTCGAGTCAGTGCATGGAACCGCGCCCGACATTGCCGGCCAGAACAAGGCGAACCCCACTGCTCTGCTTCTGTCGGCAATTATGATGCTCCGTTACATGAATCTGAACGAGTTTGCTGACCGCATTGAGGGAGCCACCTTTAGCACGATCAAGGAAGGCAAACATCTCACTGCTGACCTTGGTGGCAAGGGGAGCTGCTCCGACTACACAAATGAGATCTGTTCGAAGGTCACGAATTAAGTCTTTTTTCTATTTTTGGCCGTAGCGCGCAACGCAGATTAGTGCTAAGTTTCACACTTTTTAAACGTTAAAACCGCCATCACTCATTTGTAGTAGACTCACGCTGGCTTCTCAATGACCACAAAAGACCTATTGAAGCAAAGACAACATATTTTGGTAAGACTGTCGAAGGGGATTAGACGAAAAAAAACAGCGAAGTTTTCAGAATAGTCAATTAATAGTGTGTATGGCTGTGGTGCATGTGTCTGATATGGTTATGTACCGTTGTATCAGAAGAGTGATTTACTTTGTCTAAGTCAGAACTAACTGTCGAAAAAGCTGAAGTTAGTGGAGCCAAAAAAGAATGTGGCACCGAGTTGGAACTGCAAAAAAAGAACTAGGTAGTAAATTAACAAACGTTTGTCTCCTTAGGACCGCTTCGGCGCGGTGACTGCCATCGTTTTTCAAAGCTAGCTTTTAAGTTATTACGAATTTGAAGATGCAGAATGGATAATAAATGAGAATAGTATATCAATTAACTACTAGTATATAATAAAAAATAATAGCAGATGAATAATGGAAACAAGTGACCTAGGATTATAATGTGAGGCAGTTGGAGTGCGTGGGAGCGCGATACTATGTACGAAAGGCGGGACTCCTGCTGCGCCTCGGTGTAGAGATGTTTTAAGTTATTTGAAAAATACAGGTAAAGAAAGCTTGTCAAGTGAAAGAAGAACTGCCGTCGGTTGGCTGTAAAATAAAAGTCGGTCCACAAAAAAAACTGGAAGTGTTTTGTATTTATCTTGGATTAGTATGCATGGCTTGTAGTCGAGGTATAACGTTTTTAGTTTAGATGATGAAAACGTTAATCCATAACTAAGTAGTGTACGGAAATGCTCCGAATTGTTTGAGAACTCAAAGAAGATACTCAATGGAAACGAGTTTTTTTTAGAAAGATTGGAACCAAAATACTCATTCTAATAGTTTTTCTTGGAATTTACCATATGGTGAAAAGTCAAAGTTTCCCTTTGTTTCATTTTCAATGTGTATCTTATAACATAACAATTCCCGTACCAACAACAATTCAGTACCCCGCTTACTTAGGATGTTTTAACCCAATGATTTCTTTACACATGAATGCTAACGACAGTTTTCACTTATTGGACTTGGCCAAACTAACACTGAAGCTTCGATAAGGTCCTCTGAGAGACATAAAATATGTAAAATATGTTTCTCCTTGTAATGCTTACATTAATTTTTTATGGTGTACGATGTTCCGCACATACAAAAAGAGCCCTCTTAACGTTAATGAACAAGTTCACAAACGAGACATCCCTGAGCCGATCCCCATGGTTACCCGTGTTCTCATAGGAAGGACCTATCTATACATATATTCAAACATATGGAGACATTTGTGCTTCAAGAAATAACACAATATTTCTTTTCTGCCGATATGCGAATATACATATCCTCACCACTGCTTTGGACTACTTAGTTTCAATTCTGGTAATGCGTCAGTTAAGCATTGGTTCAGACGACTGATTCTTTCTAGAACGAAACAAGCCGTGTGTATGTTTACGTTTCATTTCGAATTTTTAGTAGGTATACATTTTACCTATACACCGTCTCACGGAAATAATACTGCTCGTCTTTGAACAAAAAAAGCTTTATTTACGTGCAAACCCTGATTTGAAGAGTAATAATAACCATTTATATACTAGAATTAATTAGTAATTATTATGTTACTATACTATTGAATGATAAAAACGAAAATAACGAAAAAAACGTTTGAAATATTTCTCAATTTTTTCCATATGTTTGTTTTTTGTGTTAATATTAACATGATTATTTTACATTATGTTTTATTAGATGACCTTGTATTGTACAGCCAGTTAGATTGACATGTTACTTAAAAATGCATTTCTCTAGGATGTATAATTCAAGACGTGATTATTGAAGGGATTCTATTTCTCTAAATCTTCCATTTTAATGAAGAATATTAGACATAAGAACATGCTCATGTAAATTCAGTCAGTAGCTATCGGCCATAGGTAGAAACTATCAAACACAATCCAAGAACCCGTCCGAGCGGCCGCATACATTCGTTGCTTACGATGCGGTCTCAGACACCTTTGTTAATAATTGAGATATCTTTGCTTGACTACATTGTTCACGCTACCGAATTTCCCCAGTTAGTAGCTTCATCTTGGTTTATTACTGTTGTACTTATAACTGAACACTCCTGCAAAGTTTTGTTTGCGCATTGATAGTACAGTTTATTCCTTACGTTTATAAGCGCATATTTATCAATCAGTCTATTTAGTTTACATAGGTAAAACGCAAGCACCTGCGTTTAATCGAACAAAGTTATTCTAGCTGTACATTAGTAACACCATAAATGTGTCAAGCTGACCTGCGTCCCCATTTTAGCTTTCTTCTTCGGCCTAATATAATATTCATATATGTCTCTATCCTGTCCCGTTAAAATGATTTGTTATTTTTTGGTATATTTTACCACCGATATCTTTGTTGAGTCTGACGTGGGAGCACATGTACGCCGTACGCTACTTTTTCAACAGAAACGCAGCTATTGAAGGATTCCGATTTATCCAGAACCGCATAGGGTAGTCTAGTTTTATTTTCTATTTCTTGTTAGCTGAACGTGGTTTTAGCTCTTCGAAACAGGGATGCAGGAAAATGTAATTTTTCTTTTGCGGATTAGCAGCCTCGTGTCCTTTAGACCAATCGTAGCCAACGGCATATGCGAAAATCTCGCCGCGGGCGTTAAAACAACACCGCGTAATAGAATTGTCCATTTGTTCCGATGTTTTCAACTTGGTTCGAGCGTCCTTGTCCCAGTACGAAAACTTGCCTATGCGAAGAAAATGGCGAAGTGAGTTATTGTTGATGAACAATGGAAAGAAAGGCGTATAACTCGGAAAGATGCTAGGTACAGTTGATAGTTCGTATTGAGTTAGCAGACTTGATAGGTACTCTGATAGTCCAAAATAAATGAAAAAGGAAGAAAAAGATGGTCTGATAGTCCAGAATAAATGAAAAAGGAAGAAAAAGATGGTCTGATAGTCCCGAATAAATGAAAAAGAAAGAAAAGAATGGTCATATTACTATGGCTGTAGCATTAGCTTTTGTGCCCGACAAAAAGAAAAACGTAATTCCTCAACTTATGCATAGAGCCCTCTCTGCTTAAGAAAAGCCGCTCGAGGTGAACTGACTCACCGTCACTGCCGACCGTAGCCAATGTGCCGTGCTGTGGATGGAATGCAATATCATTTACGGGATATATATCTTGATAGCCGCTGGCATTTGTCGAATTGCTTCGATGACATTTAAACGTAAAATTATCTTTCGGGTTCACCGGCTGTACGTACTGAATCGCAACCCGTCCTTCGACAGAGCCGAGACCGAATCCTGTAGGCTGGTTCTTCTGCTTGTCAACAAAGACCGATACGCATCGATGTTGATATTTGAGGGGGGACTCGATTGATTTCAATTCGCGCGGCGTATTCTCTAATGAGTACATGAAGATACCTCTACCGGCCGTACTCACAACGGCCATTGGGTAAAGGACATCAGCGCAATAGACACGTTCTTGCATTTGAATGGACATAATGGGACTTGATGAACGGGTGTCCCAGAACTTTACTGTTTTATCCCAACTTCCAGTCATGATGCACTGATAGTTGCCAGCATTGATCCAGTGAACCGTCTTGACGGCATTATCATGTGCCGCTACTTGCACAAGTTGGTTAGCGTTAAGATCCCACATTTTCACTGTTTTATCAGCCGATGCCGAGAATACCTGCCAGTAAATAGGTTAAAAGATAACTACAGATAACATAAAGCAACCAAGAGCGACACTACACGTTATGCCCATAGCTATTTACGCTTTTTTTCCCTTCAACGGGGCTGCAACAATTATGTAGGTACTGTGCAATCAAAATCCTAAAGAAGTATCCGCGGATTTCTTTAGTCCCCGCTTCATAACCTTCGACAGAGTATTGATTAGTAACGGATTTCTACTGGCTGAAATTTGAAAATTACTTTCCCTTCTCTCCTTTTTTTTCAGTACAATTCGATGAATTTTTATTTATCTAATTAGCCATTAGCTGGCTAGCTAATTTGATAGAAGATCTATTGTTGTATATTAACTAATATTTTTATGATACTCTTTTGAGTATTAGTTGCTTTCTTCCGTTTATGTGCAATATAGATGATGAAAAGGAACCAAATATACATCAAGGTAGAGAAGGTATTTAATGAAATCTTGGATAAGGCTAGATGCGATGAAGCTCACATATTATAAACAGCTGTGAGCACTATATTTGAGTAAACATTATCTCATTAAAAGAATACCCATTTTAATCATTGGGGTGACTACAAAGCTCGGTAAATCGAAATGACTGATTTTCTTTTTAAAATATTATTTAACATTGACAGCTGTAAGCTTGTATGCATTGTTATTAAGGGCTGTTGACTGTCTCTAGGTGAAGTAGATTTTTCAAATCAAATTTTGAACAAGCAAGGAGTATCACGTATCAGTAATATGAGAAGTCTTGAAGTGACAGTTGTGCCGGTTCGGGGGACCGTGCCTAGATGAAAAGAGATCAATAAATCTCAAAGTATCGGATGTTTAGGTCTGCAGCAGTTATTGCTATTTCCTAGTGGCCCTAATTTGAACAATCTTTTCAGAAGGTAACATGGAATGCAACAGTCAACTACCACTTGATGAAAATTATGTTCACCCCCTGAAATATGCAGTTTATGACTTGTCTATTTTAGAGTCGGGGCTGCCGGAATAGCTTATGTTTTTTGCCTAGTTCTATGTTCTGTATTTATGTATGATTTGATATAGAATTGCACTTGCCCGTGCAATTTTCTCTCTTAGTGCACGTTATACTATAACTACCGAAACGTATTGACAAGAAATGATCAAACTACTTACTGATATAGTATTCCAATAAATATATAAACAACAAAGTTCTTAACCCCCACTATAAATTCTAATACATAAAACTGAATTCACATGCTACCTTGGAGCCGTCGTCGGACCAAGCGATATCAAGGACCGGACCTTGATGGCTTTGTTGTGCTTTGGGGACACTCTGCCCATTCTGATGCACCTCCCAACATCGAAGTTGGTTGTCCCAACTTCCGGAGACAAGGAAGTTCTGTGTCAGGGAGGCTGGGCTAAATGCCAAACCTGCAATCGTGTCATCCGGCGGTGAAACGACTTCGAAGTCTTTCATAGGATTATGATTTGCCGGCGCTCCACCGAACCCGAACGAGGCGTTCTGCGCATTATTTGCAGTGAACATAATGATTTTCTCGGCAATCAAACGTGCCGAGAAGATCACAGGATCTTTCCTTAATCAAATATTACCTCAAACTTTTGATTCCGAACCTTGGTTGTGAATCACTAAAAGACGCTGTCCCCACAACTATCGCTGAAACGGTAAACAAACAAGAGAACCGTTGCAATTGGAACGTTCAATTAAATTACTGTTTCACGCCCGATATATTCATATACTTCCATACTGATCATAAACAAACAGTACGCTCTGGTTAGCAATCACGGTTCATGCTCGTCCAACGCACATCAACACTGTACTCGGTATGTGCAAAATAAATTTCAATACGAAACACAGCCGCCTCTACCACAGATTTGCATGCCGTAGATATATAGGTTGTTACAGCAAGAGAGAATGATCGTTCCTGCTAGTTCCTGCTCGGGAGCCACCGAAATCGTGAAATTGCAGTGAGTCATGAAAATCACCGTTGATCCCGACATATACACTTACTGTCTAACGTGTTAGACCTAATCGCCTGTCTCAGCACCTGTTCGCCGTGTCAAAATCTCGTAGAATGAGGTATATCGCATTGGTCCAGGCCCATAAGCCCCATAAGCTACTTCAACTTTCGCGCCCCCTATCGTATGTGTCGATATTGATGGTGGTTTGCTGTTGGTAAACAAAACTGATTGGCGACTGAAGCGCCGCAAGTGGTTTCGTTTTGCTACCGCCACGGAAAAGTCTTTTCCACTGGCGTGCAGTGTGCGAGCAACATCGGGTCGCACGTTTTGTGCAAGTTTGTATAGTTTTCGGGCCGTACAAGGTTCTAACAATGTCAAAAAGAGGACGTGGTGGACAGGCAGGAGCCAAGTTCCGCATTTCGCTAGGTTTGCCTGTGGGTGCAGTGATGAACTGCGCTGATAACACGGGTGCGAAGAACTTGTTCGTGATCGCCGTAAACGGAATCAAAGGTCGCCTTAACAGGCTGCCCGCTGCAGGATGTGGCGATATGTTCGTCGCAACTGTGAAGAAGGGTAGGTATACAAGCAAAGTGTGGCAAAAAAATTCATTTGACAAGATTGTAGAATGGGCATCCGCGGCTTGGAGGAGTCACTCTAAATGCCAAGAATAGGAAGAAAGTTTTGGCAGTTTCGATCGCTCCGATGTGCGTATACATAGCACAAATGGGCATGCTCTCTAGGCTTTCTGGAGCGTTGGAGGCAATAATCATTGACTATTGTGGCACGTACACATGGCTAAAGGCAGCACTCCCATTATGAGGGTGGTGCTGTGAGAATCAGTCAGTGCCAGAGTTGACCGCAATTTCTACGCCGAGTTGAACTACGCTCTACATCGATGACCGCTATGAAATTGATGGCGAGCTGTATCAAATGTGACAAGAATGTGACTGCATTCGAGGTTTTATGCAACAAAGAACTTCTGCTATGAGTCTGCAGGGTATGAGTTTGAACGATGTAGCGTTCAAACTTACGATGAATGGATTGGTGCGCTGGCGGGACTTGATTCTTGGTTGACTTAGAAACTTAGTGTCAGACTGTATCTAGAAAATGTTGGGTTTGTTCTTCGAAACTCTGCTATAGCAGACATATGCTGCAGATGTGTGAAGCTCGTACACAATACTTTCAAATACTAAACGAAACCTCCAACCGCTAGACAAGATTTAAGACACAATGGTGATCCATTTAATTTTATAATAAATCGAATAGTAAGTACATCCACTTTGTACTAGATTCAAGATTCAACTTCAATGTTTGGCACATCAGATATTGAAGCGGAATCTACTACTTCTCCTTGTTGACAGTTTCGTTGACAGACATACTTAGCTTGATTTTATTACTCGTTTGGCTCGGTCTTATATTTCATCTTAATGTTGCTTGTTTTGTGCTAATTTCCAGGTAAGCCCGAGCTACGTAAAAAAGTTATGCCGGCCGTGGTTATTAGACAGCGAAAGGCGTTCAGGAGGAAGGATGGTACATTCATTTACTTCGAAGATAATGCTGGCGTAATTGTTAATAACAAGGGCGAAATGAAGGGATCTGCAATCACCGGTCCCGTGGCGAAAGAGTGCGCCGATCTTTGGCCAAGAATTGCTTCGAATGCGTCATCTATCGCCTAAATAAATGCCCGACGTCGATGATTCGATGGAGTATACTGTGTGCTTATTTGAAATCATAGGAAAGTTTTAGCAGCATAGACAAACAACGAGAACGAACTTAACGTTAATCAGTGTAATGTCTGCTTTTTAATTACATAACCCCAAGAAGAAATTCGTTTACAACCATTCATCATGCCTAGCCGATAGTCTGCGTGCCATAAAAGTTTTGCATGGCCAGCACCTTAATTTATGACTTTTGTTTGTATCTACTATGTCGAGTTATCTTGTCTTAATGGCTTATTTTGAAATATCTTCTGAGAAATATGTTTTCATTGAAAGCTATTCCTAGATACTGATTTCGGGCTGACCATTATTTAATGTTCTTCACTTCGGCTCGGGAAGAGAATATTCTTCTCTGGAGCCCGGCGAAACTAGCTACGAAAGAGGTATTTCGTCTCAGAGATTAAACGGTTTTATGAATGTTATGCGGTTTTGCTTCAACTGTGCCTGAAGAGGAAACGCGACTATCAATGTTGAGACAAAATTATATTTGGTACCCATATTAAGCCACAGTTATGAGTTTGTTACTTCTTAAAATTGTACTGTACTCGTTCTGGCGTTCTCGAACAGAGCTCCAGCTACGACGTCGAAGACTCACGTGATTTTCAACTTTGTTCGTTATACCTAAGGCAAAGAAGGTAACTACTGGGCAACTGCAGGAATTTTTTCCATTGACATATTTGGCTCTATTCGGAACAATTTTACGGAATAATTTTAAGCGTACGTCAAGGAAGTATATAATTTGAACTTGAACATAACGGAAGGTACAGTTGGAGGTCACTGATTGATTTCAAAGTGCTAGCATTAATCCGTCAACACAACAATGCGAGCGTTCAACTATAAATTGGTCTCCTCTACTTATAAAGCTAGCTCCTGTGATTGCGGTGTGGACATGTATTTTATTTTTAAAACAAATGGTTAAAGAAGTTAAAACAATGATGAAAACAAATTCAGTTACCAAATAATTTGTCATGAACCTTGAAAATATGCAAGCCTTCGGCTTTCAGTGTAAGACTTTTGTAATTAGTATTTCTATCGTCAGCGGTGGTGGTCATTGTCTAATGATGCGGAAGTGCTTCTGAATGCACTATAAAAGAAAAAAAACTCGATCGTATGTATGCGTCTTTCTGTATCATTGGCAAGGTTTAGGTGGCATCTTTATTTACAAAGTGTCATGTACAGGATTCCTCTTCAATTATATACTAAATCAGCGCATGGCACGCCTTTATTCATTATTATGTAGTTAATGTTATTCAGTAGTCAATTCAAATAGCCTTTTCTTTTTTCACCGTCGGTACTAACCAACTGCGTTGACTAACAACACAGCCTCCTTCGCACAGAACATTAATTTTTTATATAACGAAATTCGTGGTTTTGAAAGGGTTATTGCTTAACTTATTAAACAAGACACAAGATTAACTGTTCTTCCCAGTTTTTCGTACAGGAAAAGTCAAGACCTCCGTTGCACCAAGCCATTTCAATTCACAAAGTCGTCGTCCTGTCATATTATCATAGAATATCTGTTGGTAACATATTAAAATCACAATTGCGTTTTTTTTTTATATAGCTTGACACCGTGCTTCTCTCTGAGTTATATTAAAAATAGAAAAATACACCGATTTATCGGATGGCGAGCCAACCCAATAGAAATCTTGAGGATGAAAACTAGCTTGCTATTTTTTAAAATAAAGTTGATTTCGAACTCGTTGTGACTTTTTTCGCTCTCTAAGGGTCTTTAAAAACGTAATATCTAAATTGAGTATCAGCAATTTCAATATCTTCTATATTCTTCAATAATCTGTAGGTTTAAGTCCACAGGGTCGCCGGAACTCTTGGCCCCTTTCGTGGAACCATTTGTTCGACACCCATTTGGAGCCAGCCAGCACTGGGCAACCGGCATGTCTGGTTAGCACGTCTCCTTCGCCGCTACGGTGCAGATTCCACCAAAATGCAGCGCTACCCTTTTTAGGCCAGAGCGTGAGACCCAAATTAGGGAAGACAGTAGCCCCTCCTGCTTTCACCTCAGACATGTAGTTGATCCAGGTTGCTATACGATTGCCCGTACCAAGGCTTTTAAACGCATCGGTTTCTTCTCGTCGAGCAAAATCGAAGTGAGGCTCATAATGTCCACCAATACCGTAGTTGACAACCTGCAGTTCTTCCGCAGTTTCATGCGTGAGGCCGGTGAGGTACTCGAAGCGTAACGAAAGCCTATTCACTACGTCATGATCAGTATTTTTCAGCCATGCACTCTTGCTTATGCGATAGTTTGCAAACTCGAGCTCGCCTGTGAAGAAAACGAATATAATCTATTTGATTCTTTTATAAGCTTCTATTAGAAATGATTACATAGATCATAACGTCATCACATAGGAAATTTGTAAGACTTTAAAAAGTACTTACTACATCTCAGTATATCTGTGTGCTGTCTGTATTTTGTGAGAATTACGACTCAACAACCGGTTACGTTTTTTTCATATGCCTTTCTACAGAATTTGCTAAGACACGTTAGTTATAGAGTAACGTATTTTTTTTTATATTTCGAATGCTAGTTTCTCTTTGTTACACATGCTTGTTAGTAATAACAGTTCGAAGAAAGAAAATGAAACCGAGATTTGCTTTCAAGCAAATCACAATTTGATTTTTTATCTTTGTTCCAACCTCTGTAATATGTGCAGAAACCACGCATATGATGCCAAATGCGTGAGCGGTACGTTAAGAGTATATAAAAAAATATCACACACAAATCATTGCTAATCAGATCTAATTAATACACCTATAATACATTTTAATAAAAGAAAAATAAAGATAGACGAAGTATTATATTAAAAAAGTATTTGACGTTATTCTCATTATTGGTGTACTGCCAAGCCATTATAATACATTAGGATCAGATGACAACTCACATCAAAAGTTAAATACACATACGTTGTATCTCAATAGCTCCCTTGGATAGAGTAAGTTTCTCTAAATACATAAATAACTCAATGGAGTCCCCAAAATAGTTATGACAAACGTGACATCCAGGAATCGTTATTTTTAACAAGCAACTCACCGGATAGAGCATTTTGCACAGTGGCCCTTCGTAGCTTTGGATCGCTTAATTCGGTTACGATACGTATTTCGTCCTCACTCATTACATCATGAAAAATGGCGATATATGGTCGCTCATGAACGACTTCAAGTTTAGCCGGCTGTAGCCTCATATAGGGGTGGCCGTTATCAAAATACCGACAGCGCAACCGGTTCCGCCGATGTCGTGGCTGAAACAACTGTGGCATGGGCTCACCTCTGCAGAGTTGCTCGTACGTTCGACGCTCCTCATTGAGGCCCCCTTGTCTTTTGATGTGAGAATCGACCGGCGATTTTCTTGTGTCGCCTCGACCTAAACCTTCATCTTCCTTCAGCTGGTTCAGATAATAACTGCCGATTGTGTTACATGCCATAGTATATTTAATATTAAAATAGTATTTTTATTATTGAAATACCCTTGCCTTATCAAACTATAGGAAATCCAAAAGGATAATTACCAGTGTCTAAATCATGATAGAATGAAGCTATAGTTGGGGGCGTAGAATTATCAAATTCGAAATAGTGAAATATGTTACAGAGTCGATAAATAAAATCAGTTAATTTACAAGTCACATGAATCACACATTAAAAACATACATTATCATAAGCATTAGTTATGATAGCATAATTTGTAAATTAAGAATATAAATTAAATTACGCTACAAACTTTTTGTTTCTGTTGGCTCGAGAGTGATTCGGCTGCAACCTCAGCAACTCATCGGTGAGTGCAATCGCATGGCGAACATTGCCAAGACGGTACGTGGCGTATGCCAAATAGTCGAGAATGTCCGCTTTCACTGCGTCTTCACTTTCCTGTGATGTAGTATTAAGCCTTTCGAGCGCCTCCTGCATCCACAGCACAGTATGGTAGAAGTCCTCCTTGACGTACGATTGTCTACCGAGCTCAAAGCAGTCATCAGCGCTAAGACGAGGCGATTCGTTCGCGCCAGGTGCAATTAGGCCATTAGCCATTCGACTTGTGTCTAAGGCGTACGTATCCTGCAATCGCAGCAATGCGGCAGCCGCCCCGTCCAGATCCTCGGTGTCAGGAAAGATCAGTTCCGCTGTGAGATTCGTGATCACCTCATTGCTTCTGGGATTGAAAATTAAACTCTTTGCCTCACCAAAATCAGCCGTAAGTTTTTTTACCAGAAGAAATGCATTAACCGGGTTGTACACGAAACTCGCGTCTTTTTCGGCCAGCTTCCACAAGCGCTCGAGATCCGCCTTGAGCCTCTGAACTTTCTCCAGTCGAAGGTGCTCAGCTTTGATGTACTTTTGCAAAGCTAAAATTGTCTCACGTTCAGTAACCAGCAGCTTCTCGAGGTCAGTCGTAGCTGTAAATAGTTCGGCTCGATTAGCCGTTGCCCATAGAGCTAAGCAGACTATCACCGTGAACTGCATCACCACTCCTGCAATGAGTAATCACCAGCCGCACCGAAAATCATTCACTGGACAAAAACATCACCTCCCAAAAACTAGCAATACACCAATATATACTCATCACTAGTAGTCTATGATAGAATAGAGAAACGAAGAAAACAAAGCAGCGACAAAGATAACGTAACTCTCATAATAGATCAAACATATTATGCATCAGTGACTTCTCACAAAAGGCATTTCTTCACGTTTCAACAAACGGTCGAATTTAGCCTGCGGAACTTTCCAAATTTCATGCGGTTCCAGCTGAGCACTAGTATCATTTGCGTAAAATGTGTAATAAATAAATGATGAAAACGTTATGCTACGTTACGTTTTGTTATGCTATATATTCCCACTCCTGTTTATGAATTACTGGCGTCGGCGAAGACCAGTATAGCCGTAATTGACAGCCGGAGAACTCGAGTAAATTACCGTTGGTGTGCGGTAGAGGAAGAGAGTCGCGTATATCGGCAAGACGACGTGGCAATATAACGTTGCCTTAAGACGGTCGACCGAAAAGCCTCACGACAGCATTAGGAGTGCACAGTGTGCCTAGGCTAAACATCAGAAGAGGGACAAGCATTTCCAGATGGGAGACAACCTATGGAATCTTTTATCTTATGGCGTAACAGAGAGAAAACCTAAGAAAGAAGACAGAAAGCACTACACGTTTCTTCTTTGGTCAGCGAACATACTGAGCTTCTAAGAAAGACAAGCAACCAAGCTGCTATATATATATATTGAACTTGCTAACTGAAGTATGCGCACGCCACGATTGGATTGACTACCTGAATGAACAAATGTTTTATTTAAATAATCATTAATATGAATAGGTCAGAAGAGAAATTAAAAAGAGATAAATAAATAATACTAATCATAATAGGGATAGCAATAATGATAAAATAGTATGGGACCGCTTCATTAACAAAGATAGTGCAAGGTCTGTTGCGAAAAATGCAGGAGGAATATACGTAGGCTGCGCCGCTACGAGACTGATTGCGTGCATACAACGGCCTTTTTTTAGTAGAGAAGTCCTTAAACGTCAAAGCTAGAAAGCTCTAAGGCACTTTGAATCGAGGGTCAGCCCCAGTTATCGATATCATAAACTCAGCACATGCTCTTTTTAATAAATCATTAAAAGAGAGCTTTTCAAGGCATTGTCAATTTAATAATTATTACACTTGTTTGTTCCTAAAGAATATACTACAAAACACGAAAGGAAAGTATTGTTTTTATAGTAAAACGTTGACCAACTAATACACGAGTAACAAAGAAATCTTCTCTATTGTCATTCGGGTGTTATTTGCCCCCTAAACAAGAATAAAATGCATGAGGCAAACTCCTTATTACTGGCTACATTATATGTACTGACGTGCTCAAACTTCACAACGATTTAAAAATAAAATAATTCGCGCGCGTCTTGTTTCTCAGCATTAAGAATACCGTCACGAAGTTTTTATATTTTTCGTTTTTAACGAGTTTTCAACCGGTTCTGCTAGTATTCAATGTGAATTGCTAAGGGTAATAATATACTAGAACTAAAAAAAACACAGAATAAAGTTTATATGTGGTACAATAAAAACGTGTTGTTCTACTAAACTTTTAAAATCGAATATAGACACACTTCGTTTCGCCATGGAAGGCTGGCTGTCTGAAACAATGCTTAACAATAGCACCAAAACGTAAAACTCAAAGCATTCTTTTTATAAAGGCGTTTGTATATACCCCATTCACAGCATGCTCTGATTCGAGTGATAGGTTCATTTACGTTTGACGTTTTTCACGTAATGGTTAATTGTTCGTCATAGCTTAAGTAGACCCTAGAGACACAACAATCCGAGGTGCAATCAATCGTCAAGTATTTACAACGAAAGCTGCCTTATTCAATAGAAGTTTGTTAGTTGTATCCACAGATCGTATAAAATATTTTTAAGCCAAATTACAACGACAAGTAAATTGTTCACAACAATAAAAAAAAATACTGTTCGAACTTATGCATGTCTAACCCATTGCATACCAATATTAATAATTATGCGCTGAATTACAATTGCTACGGCTTACAATAACTTGACGTTAGCGAAATACACAATTATCTTTAGGCCGGATGCGTGATGCACAAAAATACACCAATCATTTGTTTATTATGGTCTTAGCAACCGCGATATTGCCACCGTTATATATTTATTCACACAATCGCTATGTCTTTGTATTAATATGATTAACTAAATATACATCTACGCACAGTGTTAACACGGCCAACGACTGACAATTGGGGCCCTATGCGAACAGAGCGTTCTTGGGATCTCTACAGTACTCGATTGTTTTGATCCTGCCTCTCTGTCACACCATTTTTTTCGCCAGCACGCCATAGAAGTGATACAGCCTCACTATCTCTCATCGTCATCATAGCAATCATCATAACAATCATCATAGTGAGCATTATCAGCATTCGGTGGACGCTCATCCTGCGGCCAGCCGGATTGGCGCCCCCATCAAGCAAGCAGCATCAATACTCAGCACAAACAGCTGGCTTCTCATCAAGTCGAGACCCCAAACTGCCTCTTGTGTTAGAGGTCGCTGATTAGAACATTGGTAAGTGACTTCGTGAACTGAATCTTTACTCCAGTTGGTTTCGCTATCATTCATTATGGGGAATATCCAGTTTGGTAATACACAGACTTTAGGTGCGTATTGGGCCACTTCTTACCATGAAGTGGATCCCGATGGTTATCAGAAACCGAAACCGCTGAAAATCACGCACGATCCTATGGAAGGTTTTCCGAACGGACGTAAGCCCAGGGGTAAGTTGTTGATTCACAATTATATTCAACTTAGCAGATAGCCACACTTGTCTATTGAAATTGCATAACTAGTGTGTAGTGTAAGCTAAATTCATAATATCATACAGTCTAAATGCATGTTTTTGTCTTTAAATGATAAAGGAAGATGACAGCGCTGATCGTTTTTTGTACAACAAAACTAAGACTCCCTCTGTACTGAATAGAGAAATATAGACTATTCGATCAATGTGATGAAATAATGAAGAAAGCAGTTTTCTAATATCTAAATAGACAGCTTAATGATCTTAGTGAGAGGTGAATGAGTCTAAATGACATAGTAATAAAAAAAGTTTAAGAAAAAGCGATTCTATTTGCTATCCCATGTGAACTGTTCACATTCAAATGTGCTGGAGGTTTTGGTGGGTAGCCTTTTAGGAAACTTCTGGTGGGTAGCCTTTTAGAAAACACTGCTTTGGAAAAAATTATAATTTTTTAGTATAATATGTGTGTTGTGGATTAGAGATGACGACTGCGTGGTCGCGAGTTTCGTTCTGGTTCCCTATCTTTTCTGCCATGTGAAACAGTGAATAGTGTAAATAAAGCGTATCCTAAAGAAAAGTACTATTAATAACATTCTGTTAAATTTTTATGAATATTTGTCTGTGCAGTTTTTTGTGCAGATACATAACACTATAATATCTATTCTCGTAGCCATGAGCGAAGTTTTTTTTAAAACTATAACTGCCGTTTATTCTGATCCAGCTTAGAGCTATTTTCAACCTAAGACCTCCGAGTAATAATATTCGGAGGTCTCGGGTTAACTAGAATTGGACCATAAGTTTAGATAACTTATTAATTATTCACACTTTCAGTAATGGTGGCAACTAATGAAGAAATGCTTAGCGCCAGGCTTGCCCCTCATGAACGTGATTATTGCGCCCACAAGCTTATTGCCTTTAAAAATTGCCGCTACCAGAAGTTCCCATGGGTCGCCCTGTGTCACAGAGAGAAGCACGACCTTGAGCACTGTGAATTCGAAGAGTAAGTGCCGATATTATTGGAAATGAAAGCGCTTATTAGCAAACTCCGGGGTGGAAAAGTGAAGTTAAAAAAAACTCAGTGTTGATCATCGGCGTTTCCTTTATGAAGTTTCCTTTAAATTTCTGTTGCTTTCATTTCGAGTAGTCGACGTGTTTTCGTCGACGCTAGCAGCTGGTGAACAGCACACCTATACTAAGCTTGATAACTTAGTACACATGAGACAGTTCGATTTCCGTATTCGGTTTACTATTCGTAAAGACGATATATTAGACCTGCTTTTAACTATCTGCATGGATTTTCTAATATTTTTGTTTTGTTCAATGTCCATATACCTGAAAATTACAGTTTCATGATCCGAATCAAGGAGCATGAACGAGAGAAACGACTTCGGAAGCGCGATAAGGAGCGCGCAAAGAAGCAGGCACGAGAAGCAGGGAATCGAGCTCGATTCGAGGTCGGACTGGTCCATTAACAGAAACTATCATAACGACAGCGGTTGTCTACATCAGCTTGTTTTTGATTTTCTGAGCCATCATGGTGGTTTCTGGTCTTCTGAGTTCATTTAGTCGAGAGCAAGTCTAGTGTTGAAAATAGTGTCTGAGTAGGAGGGGAATTTGTCTGATACGAAAAACGCGGGAATAAATTTAGTGAAGATAATATACAGCATCAACGAGTAACAGAAAGGAAAAGATGTAAGTAACAACGAGTTATCTTTTAAGCAATGCAACAAAATGTAACAAACGACGTTAATGACAATAAAAAAAAAGTGTAATCACCCCGTGTCCTAAATTTTTATCGATTAATAATGACGAATAATTGTTTAGCATGGACCTTATTAAATTTTTCAACTGCTCCATTCTTAGTCTCATCCACTTGTTAGGGTGCATCAAGTTTGTTAATTACTTAAATATCTGTGGAACAAGCTCAAAGAAACCCGAATATTTTTGCGGTGGTAGGAGTGAACTATCTAATTTTTGACCACTTGCCAAAAAACATGTTTCTGTTTAAGTAAAAGAAGTCAACGTAAAAATAATCTATGAGCCAATTTTTAAAGTACAGAATATCATAAACAACAGTTCATGCATGGGATTTCAGAACTAACTATAGCTAGTTGCCCTCTTCTCTTTTTTAGCTTATTGCCATTTTAAATCATAACCGCACAATACGAAATGTTTGTTAAATGCAGCGTACTATTCCTCTAATATAACCGTATTATTGTAGTAATTTATATGTTAAAAAATATATACATAGACACCTCGGAATACGACATCAGCATCTAAGAAGTCATTTTAACTACTTATAAACGTAACAAACTTTATTATTATTCGTCATCATTTGTAACCAACTTTTGTGTTCATGATACTAGCATATTTGTTGTCCTAACGTTTGCATCACTTTATGCACTCCTGCTCCAAGCCATATACACCCCTAGTCATTAGTAATATTTACATTTCAGCTTTGGTCGGATAACTTTTGTCTCCACGAGATCACCTACCTTGTTTTCTTTACTAGCAGGTTACGATGTTTCTTTCCCGGGACGATGTTTCATATAAATTGCTGTATATCATATCCATATTACACTATTTATTCGCAGTAAACATATTACAGTACACGATTCTCGTTATAGCTCGACAATCGGTTCAATTGTGCCAACTTTCGCTTACTATTTTATTTCATTATATATCTCATTAATTGCAACAGGAAGTTTGATCAGTTTTATACATTGAGTTTCTTGTACTACTCTTACTAAGAAAAAATAACGTTGAATTAGTAATACTGAAGCCCTACATATTTGCATAAAGAAGTGCCAGCGTTTGTAACTTCATATATAAATACAGCTCAACGAGCAGTTAGTGCTTTACGTCATGTGGACATTGTGTAACAGTTTTCACTGACTCACAATCCATTCAATAACAAGTTATATAGAGTTGTTAGGTAGATATATTTCTATCGGAGATGTTGTTAAAAAGATAGTTCCGATGCTAAGAAGCGGTCATGCGCCCCCTTTCCGGGTGATACGTGGAATCCTTGCCCATTGGCGTCCATCGGTCAGGCACCGCTAAGAAGTATTTATCCATAGCACCTTGAAAACGGGACTTGTACTCGGCTGGCCAAATGACGGTAGGGCTTTTGACAGTAAAAGCGGATTTGACGATCATTTCGGCTTTTTTGTCCCACGTGAACTGTCGTATGTAGTCGATAATGCCAACTACAAATTCGTTCTTCTCTGCGTCAATGCCGACCAGAAGCGAGTAGTCCATTACTTTGCATTCGGCGAGAAAACTGGAGTCATTGATGATAGCTGCCAATAGCACCTGAATTAAAAAGGATTTGTTAAGTTTATATATGCGGAGAGACTGCACCGAGTTATACTTACATCGAGTTACGGACCTGTACTAAATCGAACATAGGCTTATAAAATACGGCATATTATAAAATGCTTGCGATTATCACGGGTGTGCTAAGACCGTTGTATCCATATCTAACCTTTTTCGAGTGCTGTCTGATGTACAATGGGTTTCCACACATTTTCATCATGAAATTTTCGTCGAGCAGAACGACATCATCTCGTTCGGCGTCGTCAACCAAACGATTCCTCTCCGAGCCTTTAAGGTCAAACTTCTGTACGATGTTACGCTCGTAAAATAAGTTCTCCATGACGAGCAAGTCCATCCTACACTGGTGATTCGTTGCAGAGTTGTGGCAGCCAATGCGGTAAACTCCCACAATCTTGCCTAACACAGTAGGATGTTTGCCTTTCGAGGCACGTGAAATGTAGTCAAAGTATTTCACACCAAACTCCTGTCTTACGCACTCCATTTCCGAGCGGCTCATTTCCTTTAGTATGAAGCGATCATCCAACGTCTTGCAGAATACGGAACCACTTTTACCGCCCTGCGCTTGCCATGACACACACCGTGCCAACGAATAGATGAACCGTTGTTCACCAGCTGGAAACAGTAATTTCCGCACCTGTCGGAACTGCTCGGCGAAGTATATCCTACAGTAGTATCGTGAAGACACATCCTGAAACTGTATGTCAATGTGCAACTGGGCTTGTTCTGGTTTCGTACTCGGCTGTTGGGGCAAAGTGAAGTTCTTTATTTCAAGAATGTCGACTTCCTTGTTAGGTGACACTTCTCGGTTATGCTCTATAATGGAGCCTAATTGCATTTGTAGCTTGGCTAGGGCGTTGTGGTATTCGGTCGAGGCCAGTGACGCGGCGACGATGGACGAAGGCTCGGTATCATAAACAGCTACGCGCGGTTCTGTACCAAGATTGAGGTTATAATGTTCCGAGGCCGTAAATGGACTTTGGATGACGGTCGATGTACCTGTATTGAGAAACTGTGAAAAAATCGTCTTTACCCCTCGCTTTTCCTGTTTTGCTGCATCAATACTTACTGTCAACTCATCGCTGCGTATGGAAAATTTCTCCTCTATGAATAATGACGGAATCCGAGTATTCTCTTCTGTTTCGGAATCGGTCGCAGTGGTTAACGCAGGACTAATACTCTTTCGTGTATCTTGGCTTTCAAGCAATTTTGTCGGATCACATATCACTTCGGTCTGGTCAACACTGTCGTTGTCTAATGGACCCACGACAGCCACATCGAGTCCAGGCTTGCTAAACGAGTTGCTATCGGTCTTGCCACCCGCTTTCTCTTCCCTTTTTCTAGCATTCTCGAAGTTGACCAACAGCCCGTTCCATGTTTGTACCCCGTCTGCTATATGTTGCTTGAGACCTACAAGGCTATCAAAAATAGGCCAACACCTTTCTTCGTTGTCTTCTTCACCTGGTGTAGTCAACTGCACATTGATCTTCTCGATGTGATCTTTACTTTTGCGTTGCTGCTCGCGACAAATTTCGAACATGTTATTAATCCACACCTCATGTTTCGTGCCGACCACCTGATCTTTGATACCCATTAGTGCCTGTAAAACTGTCTGATAGAATTCGCTTGACTTCTCAGACAGCTCGCGAATTTCGTCACTGATGCGAGACACGTTCAGTAGTTGCTTCTTGATACGGATCGTGTTCGGCGGCAGAACGATTTCCCGTATTATGATAGGAACGTACTTCAACGCCGCGTACATATGTCCCGTGGCAAAGTATTGGTAGTGATCATGATGAAGCGAATGTCCACACGGTTCGGTATCCGATCCTCGACAAGTGTAGGCTGCTCCATAAAAACGCAGCTCGAGATACTTAGCAAATGACAGGTTATAGGTGTCTTTTGACATGCTTTCGAATTTCGACATGTAACGACATTTGCGACAAAAACTCCACATCGTTATTCGATTCTGTGGAAGGAACATTTTGTCGAGATACCACGTGTTAAGTACAATACTGCCAGTGTCATGAATGAACTTTCGGTTATGGTGTAGCATTCTTAGGCCGCATTGGCATGCATATTCGGGTTGAAGACAGTAGCGCTTCAGGTAACGACCCAATGTTATGTCATGATTGGCGTAAAAATCCATAGTGAGGAAATTTGGATCAACACAAAAACCCGGTGCGTTCTTCGAATTACTCGAATAGCTGAAGAAGAGTACAACCATTTGTTGGTGATTATACGGCGAGAAGCAGTCTTGTTTTGAGATATCTTGCTGTTGAGAATAGCTTGCCATCTGCTTGCCTGAATCAGCTTGTTTGTTGTCCTGATTGAGGCGACATTTGCAGATCTTGTTGATTCGCGCACCTCGAGCGCGGTAGTCAGCGAGTAATGCGCGAAACTTCGGGTTTTCCCGCAATCGGCCTTTACCAAAACAGGCCGCAGGTAAATTTAGGAATGGATGTGGTTCAAGCAGCTGTATATCTGCCCGTTTGCTCCAAGCCTCGGTACCGAAAATATTAGCTGATGCGGGTTCCATTTTCAGAAGGGGTGCAATTAAAGCACGCGGTGGCTGTAGTTTCTCTGAGACATACAGCTCTTTTGGAAGGTAACTGCGTAACAGACAGGTTGCTCCTGCTGGTGTCTCCATGTAAGGCGGATTCACCTTGAGGAACGGTGATATCGTAAGCAGTGTATTTTTCAGAACGTTTGTGAACTGTGTATGTGTATAGTACTTTTCCTCTTCTGGTGGCTCCTTGTCAACAACAGGTAAGGTGATAGCAAATTTGTCGGGATCGGCGCTCCTTAAAGGATCCGAATTGTCCTCAACAGCCTCCGCTTCGAGTTCGCGAATCTCCACCGTCGACGTTTGTGATAGCAACGGCGGCGTTGGCGGTAAACTATTGACAGCGTCTATGGCAACTTCGTCTTCTTCAACTACCATAGCACCCGTCATTGGTGGAACAGCTAATTCGTTTAGTAGGAAGGCTTTTTCCAGTTTCCAGTTATAGTTCATAAAAATCATGAACTTAAGAACCCGTTTGAGTTTTGACAGCTCGGTTAAATTCCCTCCTCTGAGTAATACAGAGCAGCCTAGGTGCTCCGAACAGCCGGAAAAAACCGTTATGGATTTGGTTTGGCTAATGCTCATATCAAACGGTCGAACGTAAAACCGCTCGCAAGTGCCAAGCGTTGGAGAACCCAACGCGTCGAGGCCGGTCACCTGCGTAGATCCGGTAAGATGTGCGAGCCTTTCCATGACGGATTTTTTCACATTAGTGATTAGCGAAACGTTTAGCTCACGAACCTTCTCTCTCACTAGCCATGAGACACTCTTCTCTACAATGAGAATATCAGGTTGATAAGCTCGGATTTTAGCTATGGCATATTTAACGTAATCTTGCTCTTGCATTACGATGGGTTCAAGTGTATCAATTTTCGACTCATTACGCTGATAAGTGATGGCTCCCTGCAAGATAAGAACCTTCGGTTGTTCGACGTGACACCGCATCTCCTTATGAACGAGATTTTTGCTGAACGCAGTGCCCCAAATGATCGACGTGTCTTTCTTCATCCCACCGGGAATCTTCTTGATGTGAACGAAATCACGGATATCGTTATTGTTTGTTGGCGGTGTTACCGTCGCTGCCACCCGTTGTACGATTGGTATGATAATCTCCGCCCAACTCTGATTAAGGCCGTTAGAAGCCAACTGCTGATTTAGCATTTCCTTTGCCATGTGAGCATATTGAGAATCAAAACACGAGCGTATTTCATTTAGCTCACTTTCGGGAATAGCTTTTTCGTCCGTTTGGTTACTACTCTGTTCTGTTGACGCAATAAGAGCCCCGCTGACAGCCGAATCATCACCGACGGCTCGCTCACCATCAGAAAGGTCCCATGTGTTGCGAACAAACTCCTCTTCGCCATCCCCCGGTTCCTGTTCTAGCTGGGTACGCGAAACGCTAGCAGAGCTTTGCTTAAGATTGAGGTCAAGCTGGAAAGATGAATCAGATTTGAGTACTTTCCGTTCGCCCGTACTGGACCGAGATTGGCCAGGCGTCTTGATCCAGTCGGCAACGAATTGCTCTTCGGACGAACTCCTCGACTCTTGTGCGATCTCGGACACCCAGAGGGGGTCTGCGTTGTCGCCTTCTTTTTCAGTCGTTGGATCAGCACTCAGTCCAACTGGTCGGTATAATATCGTGGCGTCGACAAACTGCTTGACGGTGGGCTGGCCCACGGTTTCTAATAGGCCTGCGTCAATCAGCTGTTGACCGACAGCTACAGCAGCTGCGCGCTCGATGGTCAGCTCGGCCTGAAACCAAGTCACGAGGCTGGTCCCTGTTGCTGTGTTCGGGTAGCTCAAATCCTGCAGTCGATGGTTCTGGAATGGAAACTCTTCAAGGGTCCTCTTCCAGAGCGCGTTTATATCCAAGATTCCACCAAGGCCTTTTACAGTTTCCGTGAAATGTTCTACTACAACAAATTTATTGTTGTCCGTTTGTGGCCACAGTGCCTCTTCACGAAACGTGACTGACTCACGCCGACTCATATCCATATTCATGACGGCGGGTTCAGCTGCGCGACTCACGTTCTTTGATCTGGAACAAAGAGATCAGAAAGCGACTGAATTGTCAAAATATTGTGGCAACATCGCAAAATAATGCACACGTTACTATAGCGAAAAACGTAAGTTCTGCTATATAATCCGCTAATCAACTACGAAAACAATCGTTGATGTTTTGCACATTCAAAAAATTTATTGTAAAGCAAATGTGACCGATAATGCAGGTAACGGAAGAATAAAACTAATTATTGTGATGGGAAACCAACGAGTTAATAGGAAAGCGGTAGAATAATGCCCGTGCAAGTAACATAAATCATTTTATTATTATGCTCCGAGTGTGAAAATAGTCCGGCTTGTTCTACTAATAGTATATTGCTGTATGTTTCTTGCATTTAAGGTGTCATTCTATTATGATGACAATGGTTGGGTGCCGATAGTTGTGCATGCGTACAACGATATTCACTAAATACAAATGTTTTTATTCCCACAGACAACAATTATTAATTTTGACGAATCGAACAGGACCTTTCTGCAGTGCTTATTCTTCGGTTCCTAATTGACTTAATAGTAAATTTTTCAGTGTTGTATCATGTTGCAGAGCATCTTGGTAAAACAACAATTACGAAAATTGATTTTATGTGATTAAGATTTTTACTTATATTTTAAAATTCGTCGGGACAATTTAACGTGTTTAAAATGAATACAAAATTGAAACTAAAGTCCTGAATTAACCTGGTAATGGTTAATACCTGTCATAAACACATCACCCGTATCCAGACATGTCTACACATTCGTGACGAATGTAACCCATGATAATCAGATATGATAATGATATTAAATGGTGGTAGATCCCTTTGCAAGGGATACCTTAATAATTTCCAGAAATATTAGAAAAATGGCCAGCGGGTATAGAGTCATGTAAAGATGACAACTCTGTTATGAAATATTAACCATCGAGTTTTTGTGCGATTATAGGATTAAATTACTGGAAATAATAAGTTCAAAGTTAGTAGTATCGTAGAGGCAAATAAAGATGAACTTTAATTAGCAATCCAAAGTGTCAACATTTGTGTACACTTTCCTCTATAGAAAAAGTTTGCTACCAGTAACCTTTATTTGTCTATGACTAAGAAATCTGTAGCTGAGACGAATTTCATTGGTGCTCATTTTTGCCACACAGAAATAGTAAAACAACCTATCTATGACTATTTCGGCCATACTCGAAAGAAGGCTAAAACAAACACCAATCTGGTACAGGTGTGTGTATTACTTACCTCAAGTACTTGAGAATATCGGCAGCACAGTACTGACAAACTCGAAGATCTATGTCATCCTTGTGTTTTTTTATAATGTCCAAATTGCAGCACGTAGCACAAAAAATTCTACCACAGATTCGGCAATGATGTCGCCGTTTAAAGGTTGAAAATTTCACTCCGCATTCATAACATTCTTTACAGTTACTATCAGGCATCCAGAACTGTTTAAACTCCGAGTCATTTAGATCGGCCGCCGAGACCTTTCCGCCTCGATCAAGAATTGAGGTAATTCTTTGTAGGATCGTGTGCTTCGCCTCAGCTATCGAGTCTTCAGCATCTTTCTGCGGCGAAGGATCACCAACGATAGTGCTGGCAGCACGATATAAAAGTTGACTAGCTAAATTTAAAGTAGACGTTTTTGGCTGCTCGACTTCGGGGGCAACAGGTATCGGCGCAAACTCACTGAGCGAATCGACGCAGTCGAGCTTGCGGCCTTTAGCTCGCCACTCGTAATGGTCCAAATCATTTTTAGACGTCATTTTCCTTTAATTTTTTTAAGCTCAGACTATTTTTGGTATATATTAACTATATTCAAATACATAAAATTAATTAACAACAACTGAGCAATTCCGAACCCGTAAAAGCCGCTGCATCCCATGACAGTTCAGCTCAGCGATAACAGCCACAGTTTAGATGAGACAACTGCGACCTCCGATTCAGCCAAACAAACAAATCCACCCTAACGGACTGTTCGTGCATGTATCGAGAACAACTGACCGCAAAACCCACACATACGGTTCTGCGATCCGACCACCTAAAAATAAGGACATTTTTACGCTCCTGTGATTCAAACTCTACCACTAAAGTGAGCATATTTTTTGTATGCTGTGCAAATACTTATTCCATGCATTTAATCACTGCTGTGTTTAGGAAAATTCACTCGAAGATCATCGCGATCGATTAGGATGAGCAGCCGTATTGGATGACAAACATTTGATGGTCATCAGTGAACAGTCACAAACTGCCCTTGCTGGCGAGGGCTTTGTTGTTAACGTTCTGGAACTCTGAGCGTTTTTCTAATCAGTCGTGCATCTCCGTAATAGAAACAGCAAGTTTAGATGAAGCTGGTTTCAAACATGCAGTGTATTATTATTTGCGGTTCAATTAACTGAAGAGGTTTTGTAACAAATGAACCAAAAAGTTGGAAAAATTTACTAGTCAGTATTATGACAATGTTCTGAAAACGCGAAGCAGTCCTGTGTGCATCTTGATCGGTGTATTTTTTTTTAATAGAACGGTTCAATTCGTAAAGCCAGCCAGTGGTGAAAGGAATCAACTGACAAGTTAGAGTCATTACAGACGACGATGAGTTCATCGTCAAAACGAGACGTAGTATATTTGTGGGATCCGGATGTGGGCAACTTTCATTATGGCCCTGGCCATCCAATGAAACCACAGCGGATAGCAGTTACGCACAGCCTAGTTCTTAACTATAATCTCCACACAAAGATGCGAATATATCGACCCTACCGAGCCAATCCGCACGACATGTGTAAGTTCCACAGTGAAGAGTATGTAAACTTTATCGAGCGGGTAACGCCGAAAAATATCCAAACATTCTCGAAAAGCTTAACACATTTCAATGTTGGTGACGACTGCCCCGTTTTTGACGGACTTTACGATTTCTGCTCCATGTACACTGGCGCTTCGATAGATGGTAAGTGTTTGCGTTATATTGCAACAGATCAAATGAGTGGGGACCGGTTTAATCAAAATCTTTTTAGAGAGTCTACCTGATTTAAAGTGCGCATGACAACAAATCGAGCGCCGGGAGTAGTATCACCTGTCCGTAGCGGTGAAGAGGACTTATTGTTAATAGACAGATAAGTCTTCATGTCTTACTTATGTCAATATTCTTCCTAGGTTTAAGCTTAGTGTCTTCAACAACAAAAAAGAGGCAATTTAAGTAAATTGCCTCTTTTTTTTTTGTTTCGTATCGATTACCTATTCGTAAAGTTTTTACTAATTCACATATTTTAAGCGTACATAATAAAGCTGTTATATTATAGCTATCACCTTTACATGTTGACTAAAGTTATTTGTTGTCGTTGCATACGAGTCATTCATTACAGCTGCTTTGTCTACCACGGTCAGAATATATTTAGCCAGAACTGGCCTATTTAAATTATTAATTTAATCCGTTGTCTTGCCACACGAAACTATGAGCACAGATAAGTGCCTATCTATTTTCAAAGGTCACCTAATTTGGAAATTCTATTTGGTTGTAGTTGCTCAAACTAAAGCACAAACCGCTTTTGACCGAATATCATTTAACGGATTGTATCTAGCTTTTGCTTATGTAATCTACACAGTGGCGAATGTTAAGGGCAGTAGGTGTCAGTCCAGCGAGTTTTTCACCTCTGACGGCTACTCGTTTTTGTGCTTATTTTAAAAAACCGACTATTCATAAAACACGTACTGCCATCGTTGCTATAATATATTTTAGGAGCGTGGCGTTTAAACAATAAATCATGCGATATTGCTATCAACTGGTCGGGCGGATTACATCACGCCAAGAAGTTCGAGGCATCTGGTTTCTGCTACATCAACGATATTGTAGTCGCTATACTTGAGCTTTTGAAGTATCATGCCCGTGTTCTTTATATCGATATTGACGTTCATCATGGCGATGGTGTACAGGAAGCATTCTACTTGACGGATCGCGTCATGACAGTATCGTTGCATAAGTACGGCGCCTACTTTTTCCCTGGAACTGGCGACATGTACGAAGTCGGTGCCGAATCGGGCAAGTACTATGCGTTGAACGTCCCACTAAAGGAAGGCGAGTGTTTTTTAGTAATTTGTAATTTTTAGTAATTTAGTAATTTTAGTAACTGAACCCTTGAGAGATGCATAATTATTTAGTTGAAAATACGAGATTATGCCATGTAATAGAATTTAAAATATGTGTTGCACATTTTATTAATGCGAATGCTGTTTTTTCTGTAACTAAAGTTAACTTCTTCCTTTTCCGCCAGGTCTTCACTTCAACGTTGTTATCTATACCTTATTGTTTCTTTTTGTGATTTAGGCATTGATGATGCATCCTACTATCAGGTCTTCAAGTCAGTGATCTCATCGGTTATTGAACATTACAATCCAGGAGCAATTGTTCTACAATGCGGAGCAGATTCACTGGCTGGAGACCGATTAGGCTGTTTCAATTTATCGATCAAAGGCCATGGCGAATGCGTTCGATTCGTCAGAGACTTGAATATTCCCTTGCTTGTCTTGGGCGGTGGTGGTTACACATTACGCAACGTAGCTCGGGCCTGGACGAACGAGACGGCTATCTTAGTCGATGAGCAGGTATCGTCGGAGATACCCTTCAACGAGTACTTGGAGTTCTTTGCGCCGGACTTTTCGTTATATCCCGATGTGAATACGAGACAAGAAAACGCAAATTCGAAACAATACCTCGAGCAGATCATCAAGTAAGTAAACATTCACGTTAGATTATAGACGCTCTTCGCGTGTTTCAAGCATATGTCGTGACATGTGTTCTACAAATGTCAAACATAACGATTATAATGACTAGTATCATTATGATTGTTTATATGATTAGCATCGTCAATACAACATATACATTCTTCTTGATTGATCTACATCTAGGTATACAACGGAGAATCTTCGTTGTCTCGATCATGCTCCGTCTGTCCAAATGCAAGACGTGCCACCCGAGCTTGCTGACCTTGGCGATGTTGATCAGGAGGAGAAGCGAGAAACAACTAAGGAACATCCCGCCGAATTTTATGACTGAACAAATGAATGCTTAATATGAAATATTGTTAAGTTTCGGTAAAGCCCTCGCATCGTGGCGTCCAATCTATATTTCTGGGTAGCTTATAGCTATATTAATGAATATTTCATTCGAGTTACAAAGTAACTTTCTATATCGTGCCGATTCTCTTCACTGTTGGTAATACTACTATTAATATTATTATTATTAATTTGCCATGTACTGATGCCTCTTTGGTACAATGTAGTGAACTACCACGTGATTCATCGAATTTACTATAAGTTGTGTGTATAACCGCGTGAAGGACAAACAAGGACTTCATTCCCGATGGAGTGATCGACTTTTTGTATAATTTTTCTATTTGCACACTTGCTAACTGGCCTTTCCAAACTAACTCGGTTTACCTATAAATAATTATTAATCATTTATCAACTATAGGAAAACAAAGAAAAATAAGTACCCAAGCTTCTCTATAAAATTAGCGGTATATCTTCTACATGGAAGTTGTAGGGTAAACAAGTTTACAGAGTGAAACTCTATGATTATACATATGAGGGCCCCGTAGAAAGCTTGGCTACGGCGGCTAGTTTAAGTTAGCTGTATGATACATATCACAGCTTCAAAGACAGTTGAGGAAAGAGCGCTATAATACAATATACGATTGTAGTGTCCCTGGTAATGTTATAAGTGAAAGAAATCCACTATTTACTAGCTAACGTACGATAGGAGCGCTGCGTTATTTTCGAGTATTACAAGATTCTATATACTTCAACGATTGTTACATTTTTCACGTACTGCTCTTCTTTAACAAATAAATCAAACATTTATCTGTTGAAATCCGGTATAGACTAACCAGGTTTCTCTAAAGGATTAATTGCAAATCGTAAGACGGAGTGTTACCATTTGCACAGAAAATAATTACACCAGTGTTAGCGAGTAATGTTGCCCAAAAATAAGGGCTCACGTCGTTTATATGCAGATTAGCTTAAATGAACTTGCAGAACTTAAATTAAACACAAGTTACTATTAAAACGGAGACGTACCGGCGGTGTTTATGCACTGACACAACAGGAAAGTTATTACAAAGTCATTAAGAGCCCTATATCATATTAGCAGTATTCAATGTAATATAGTTAGCACAAAGACTGATACCAACCTGCTCACATGGATAAACCTCCGCTCATTATGAAAATGCAATTCTGCATTGTTAGATGAATTTCACTTGTGTATTTTGCAAAGAGTGTCTAATGCTCAGTTGGACTTATTATCGCATCCAGTTGAACTTGTACAGTACGCAAAACATCTATGAGAACGGGTGAATCAGTGGACTCGTTTTTCATTGTACACTTCATTACGCGCCGCTTAGATAGTACATACCCCATAAATAAAATGTAGAGAAAAAGAATTGCATGGGAGAATGATAAAAGGTCCTAGTTATCTAGTGATCTACTTGTTGTAAATAAATGGTAAATAGATAAAAGGAATGGCAGATGCACACTTAATATGCAGGTAACAAAAGGAAAAAATAAAAATTCAAATAATTCAAATGTGTGGCTCTTTATTCACATCTATTTCTATATATAATATATGCGTCTATCATAGTCGTTAACACTCGGCATAATTAGTAATGTTTTTCGTATCAATACTAATCTAATTTTATAATTCATATGTACACAACCTTTTCCAAATACGCAAATGTTTATAATTATTAAGCCTTTTCATTTCTTTTAAATATATGTAAAGTCTTTTCTTCCTATTAAAGAAATGTAGATTCCTCCAAAGACAAAATTTCATTCGTTCAATTAACCGCTACTCAGGGCAACGAAGCATTTTCTATATAAAGATAATAATGTAAACATCAGTATATCTAGTGATTTTTCTATTTTTATTGTGTTCGCATATTGTCATTCGTATCATTATTTCGGCTGACTAAATCATAACTACATCGTTAATACCTATAGTATACTGACACTTACTTGTCGAAAGTATTCATATCACTATCCGCCATTAAGTGTAAGCAATGAAAACTGAAATGAAGAATTAAGGAGAAAATAAAGGAATAAGCCGAAAACAAGGAATTGTCTTGTAAGCGTTTTTTGTATCGGCTTGAAAAAGAATGCTTATATTTGGTTCGTATCAACTGAAACATAATCTTATAATTTCTAGCAGAACGGAATAATCGCGATTCAAAGAAATCGCTCTATAATAAACACATTAGTCTACCTTATGTATATATACGAACATGCATTCTTGTATAAACGAATTATCGATATTTGCCCTGGATAACACAGGTTTATTCGGACGACGATTATTTCTTTCATTTTCTAAAATATTGCAGCAAATTTCGCAAATATAACTATCTGTATTAACAAACATCTGCTTACAGAGTATAAAAGTATGTAGAAAAGAGTAGCGAACAAAGCGGATAAATACTGCACAATTTTACATGTCATAAATGGCTGGGGATCATACAAAACAAGGAAAAAGGCCTTGTTGAGGCTGAGCAGTATCTACTGAACTCGGCATGCACAAACAGGAAACGACAAGCTGCTTATTTATACAGTTGAATGTGCATGTAATAAGTCATTAATGAGTACACGGGAACAATTCATAGCGGCGGGAAAACACAGATTGAAAAGGGATCGGTTATCAACATTCAAAGCTGTTCGGTATACGCGATCTGAGAAACAAGCACATTTCCATGTTAATCCAATTGGCTATTGCATTCACCGCCCCAAGGTCCCACGAGTGGAGAACTTGTGTACGCGAGTGAGCATACAGCACACTTGTCATGGTTTAGACAATTTTTTTTGTCTACAATTTTCGAATTTAGTTGGATTACTTTGGCTTTCTGTTTGATAAATATAACACTAAAATAGACACTTTGTAAGTGTACATCTCTATCAGAGGACTCTCGTATGTACTTTGCGTAGTGGATCTATTCGTACTTGGCTTTTGTACAATACTTTCTAGAGTGCTGAAAATATATAAAATTTTCACGATCTCAAGTGAGCTTAATTAAAAAAATACCCAGTATTTTTTGGCGGCTTTATATTCTTTATGGGTTTTCAAACACACCCAGTTTGTGTTTACTTGCTGGTTCGAAGACAATCCACGTTGTTATAGTTCACCCTCCGAATACATTCACAAATTTTCCTTTTTTGCAGCTGTTTGAAAACAGAGAAAAATCATGTTTTTTTTTTCGTGCTTTATCCATCTTTGTCTTTGTGCGCCTTCCAGGTTACGCGTTTACAGTGTATAAAATTGTATAAAATTATTTTACAGTTCACATTTTCAGACAAGTGAGGACGAAGCGAAAAGCTCTCCTAGATAATTGGCGTTACGAAGTGGAACACCATTTTTTTTTCTAGCTTACAAGCGTCTATATATTATTCTCGTTGATGCTCGCATTCTTATATCAATAGGTAGCCAACATTTCATTATCGCTCACTTTGTGTACTCACAGGATCAAAGAAAAAGAATAAAGGACATTGCTTGCCTTCATCGCTTTTAACAATCTAAACTCGCTTGTTTGCTGAACAGACGGCTAGTTATTCGCCACTACGCCGCCAAATCTTACATCCCTAGCTAAATTGTTATTAGTAAGCAAGATGAGAGGCGGATTTTAATTTTTTTTGGTTATCATTCTCGAATTTTCGTCGCACACGATGCCTATGGGTCTGCTGAACCATATCGCTCGTGTGATGCGGTCGTTTTTGTGTTCTGCGGTCTAAAAAACAACGCTTAGATACCAGATATATTTAGATATATACGCATTATAACAACAGTAAAGTATAAAAACATTCGACTGATAGGCAAGACGCCAGTGAATTTTTGACCGTAACTAATCTATTAGATTGTCCCCAAGCCGTTTGTATTGTTTATACAAACGGCTTGGGCCGTACTGTTTATACTGCTACTTTTGGTGAGGCTCGATTTTCTTGGTTGAACTGCAGCGCTATTTACCGAATACATTTGAAGAAGCTCCCTTTGACAGCTATCACAGACCCGAACGGGCTTTCCACCTCGAATTAGTGGCATACTGCCCTCGCTACACTGGCCACAAAAGATTTGTCCACACTTGCGACAGTGATGCCGCCTTCGTGAAACACTAAACGGTTTTTCGCACGCTGAACAGGATTCCGCTTCCTTATCGTCCTGCCATGTACTAATATTGTTGTTTGCCTTTTCCTTAAGTTCTTCGGTCTCTATCTGGACGTCGCATAACTTTGCGCCCATTTCCTCGAGTGTCTTATCGAGTTCCTCGCATTTCTTGCGATATGCTTCAAGCTGCTTCAAATGTGATTTCAACAATGCCACCTGCACATATAAAATCGTCCAGAACAGTCAACCACACAGCATTAAATAGATTGGGCGATAATATATTTACCGATATTTACGAGCATTCAATGTCATATAAGTTGTAATTTTAAATATTAGAGACCAGGAAAGATAATATCGGGAGCAATGAACGGTATCGTACATACTTTTTGTTACTGTTTGTAAATACTACGTCCGTGTGTTTTAAATAAAACAGGGCAGATTCCGCAAATTAAATTTCATGACTCCTAAGAAAGAACTTAAAATGAATTCTGCATCGATAGGAAAGGCAGAAAGGGTCACTAAAAGCAATTGATTTCACCTCTTGAGTGAGCTGCTCAGTTTTTTGCATCAGCTGATGGTTAGTACCCTGAAGCTGTTTTCGCCATTCGCGTTCAATCTTCAAATCGCTTTCGAGGAGAACATTTTGCCGTTTACATCCTTCTAGATCTTCCTGCGTGTCTCTCGATATGCGGCGCTCAATTTCAACTAGGAGGAGTTTCGACTCTAGCTCGTTTGAGCGAACAATCGCCTGTCATTAAATAGATGGACGAATAAACTGAGTAAGCTCATTATAGTAGGGTAACCCTTTTCAATAGTTTCAATTTACTACGCACAGGTTGCGCTTAATAGCAAATTAAAAATGGATTTGATATTTTAAATAGGTCAAAATTTTACAATGATTGGATAAACACGATTATGACAAGTACGAAACAATGGAAACGTACGTCGTCGCGTTCTTTCTCCACCACCGCGAAGCGTGCCTTGGTATCATCCTTTTCCGAATTGGCAGCCTGACCCGAACACAAAACATAATAGCAATCCTGTTATTTGGATCTCCTTATCGTTTGCTTATATCATTACTAATTAACTGCACGATAGTAATCACTAGTAGTAAGTTATGTCGAGGCTTTACCGGTCAATTTAAATAATTTAAATACTCGCTATTTCATACCTGTAATTTATCGAATAGTTTAAGGTTAATGTTCTTCACGTCCTGCAACTGCTGAGCCAAATCCTCAGCTGTGTCGATTGAGTGACATTTTGATCTAAACTCTTCGTTTTCTTTTCGAAGTCGGTCTACAGTCGTGTTTAGCTGTTTATTTAGCTCTTCCATATAGTTTTTCTGATCCAAAACAGTTTGAAATTCTTCGGCTGTGCTCTCTTTCGCGATATTCCTATTTCAAAATTAAAAAAAGTTGGTTTAGTAATACCCATGAAACCTAAGTCGTTTGCCCCATTATTAATCGCCTTTATATTGATAGTTTAATTTCAATCCCGTCAGTTGCGTCAGATGTAGTCTTCGTTCGTCAGAGCGCTTTTTTTCATTGAATTCGTCCTTCTAACTTTCTTTAATAACCAAGGTTTCTGTTTTAAACTAGTGTATAAATACATTATATCTAACGTCGCACCATTGTCGAATTGGGTTCATGCCTTGTTTTCGAACGAAGGCTGTAATTAAATCGGTTATCTCCTCTCGTCATTCTGTTAAACAAGAGGTCCAAATTTCAGATAATTTATAGCTCATATTTTCGAAACGTCATAATCGACTTTAACAGTACTAATCTAAACATTCGTAAGCCGTAAGCAACCGTTGCTAATATTCTAAGCAGAGCGTTTGTATAGATATGTATCTGTGAAGAGCAGCAATTCTGATACACTGAGTGGATTTAAAATTAACTATTAGCGAATGCAGAAAGTAAAGGTGGCATTTTATTGAGCTCGCGACACTTACTCATCATTAATCTGCGAGTACACATCTCCTCGAAGGTAGGGCTCAAAAGCTATAGTGGTGTCAACGAAGTCCAGCTCTTCATCTTTCAAGAAGAAATTAAAATCAACAACGTTTACACCAACAAGTAAACCGCAAACCAGAGCGTATTCATCACTACGCATCAAGGCCCCTTCGTGATAGATCTGAAATATTTCAATTCGCGTGCGCACATTATAATTTCTTACATATCCAATATTTGGAGACATGATTAGTATTCAAAAGGCCCGCCGGGAAACTCTCTGGAAAACTATGCCCATAAATGATGCGTGCACAATAAATCGACGACAATTAATCGTCAATAGTATCTTGTCATCATTAGCTAAGTCGATAGCCACTAGACATTAACATAAAGTATGCATTTTCCCAAGATACGATCTGCAACAAGTAAAATGGCTTTTTTTATTTGAATCAACTCACTGACTTTAACAACCACTCAAAGTATAACACGTCGCTTCCGCGACCTTTCCCACAAGGTTAATTAAAATATACTACATTCCCACCACATTAAATGGTTGAAGTGCTATCTCATGGTAATAAGTTTTTCCTTCATTCACAAATGAAGGTAAACTCACCTGGTTTAAAATCTCGTTGCAATCTTGCAACTGAGCAATATAATCAGCAAGATGTTTCTGCATCAGTGCCATACGGATCCAAGCCCGGCATCTACCGAGCGGCGTGTGGATCGAGGGCATGTGACGAACGCTCTCTGTAGTATGCTCAGCACCAGGGATTGACTCGAGCAGTGACCACAGTGTGCGATCTGGGTCTGGCGACACAGAAAGTAGCGCTGTTATAGCACTGCTTCGTCTGCTTCCACCTAGTGCAAGAGTAACGATCGTTAAGGCGAAAAGATAGACTCAAATAGGCAACAACAATGTTTATTCTGTTATCGCATCTTGGCACCTCTGCTTATTGACCTCAGCAGAAAGTGCGCAGGGATTCAAAGTCGCTAAGCACAGTTGAAATGAAGACGCTACTACGTTTATGTATCTAATGTACATTTTCTGATTGTATCTAATATACTAACTCTCAAAAAGGTGTTACTATATGCATATATATGTACATTTTTATTCATAAAACTGTTCCCGGTAGACTTCAAGAAGGAAGCCGTCGTTTACCTTGCTAAGTAGTAGATTGGTCTTTCATCGGCAATCTTCATTTAACGAAACGTTATACCGGACACGCTACTTAGAGATAACGACGATGGTTGTTGAAGAAGATATTGACAAAAGCGTTTCGCTATCTATCGTATAGCTTACATATATAAAAGGAGTAAAGACGAAGTAACTATCGTTTTCTGCAGTTTAATAGAAAGATGAACCTCTACAAAAAAAAAACTGTGCCCCATGGCAGTTAAAATAAATTCCATAAATTCCAGAACCACAAAAATTGTTACGTCCTACTATGTTCATGAGAAACACAAAACCTATACTTTTTCCAACATTTTGAAGAAATCTATGCTGATAGAAAGGCCATCAGGGCAAATGGTCAATTTTAAAAATGAACCGAAAGTTCCGTTTCAGCCGATTTAGTAATTTGCCTAGCTTTCTTTTTCATTTCTGTAGTGCCTACTTTCCTACCGTGCATTAATCAAAAAAACTATTATTTAGAAATAAGTACAAATTGCTGGCTGGTTAACACCTACATTTGATTTGATGCTTGAGGACGTTTTCCATCAGGTTGAGGAAGTTTCTGAGATGAATACAGCCGCTATCAACCTCCCTCTTATCACTTTGTAGAGCTGAATCAAGAAGGTCTCGAACACATAGTTTTACAAGCGATACCAAATTTTGACGTTCCACTAAGGAAGAACTCATCTTTCTTTTGGAGCAGTCGGCGAGAATAACGCCGTTTTGGGAACGATGATGTGTCTTTTCCTATTTTTTTTTTGAATACGTGCCCGCCACCGTCTTACGTAAAGACAAGCGTCGTTTAGACAACTATATGTGAACTGTCGCTCCTTCCTTTAACGTATCTACTGTTTATGATATAGATGACCACACCGGCAATATCATACACGCCCATGGTAATCGGTCAGTTGAGACTTTCCCGATATAATGGACATAATAGTTGTCAGCACGATATTCTCTCCTAACGTCCTCGTTAACATCTTCGTCCATCTAATCCACTAGGTTTACATTGTATTAGCATACTGTAGCACTAAAGTATGCTTCTATTTACAAATGTCTACTTTTTGCGCCGCGTTTCTTAATCACTTCTATGCTATGACTAAATTCACATAGCCGAAAATCATTGGTAACGGAAGAACAGAAGCGCACTCTTTCTTGCAAAGTAATTTTCTCCGATTAGGCAACTCTATTTGTTGTTATTTAATTAAATTGTGATTATAACCAAATGCATGTTAATGTTTCTCCTGCTCTACAGCACCTAACAATATGGCTTCAATAAGGACCAATTTACGTTCGGCGAATAATAAAAACAGACACTGTAGCCATCAATGTTGCTGCCTCGACAGAGTTCTGCGATCTACACTTGATGAACGTTCTGCATCTTTTGATGAAGGGAGAGTCCACACGGCTGATTTAGCGGACTCGCTGCATCAAGGCGGTCTTACATAGCAGCTAAAATAACGCCAGTTTTGATAGTAGCGGTAGTTTCCATTAAAACTTTAATTTCTATCTTCCAAAAAAGCTAATAATGTACCTGTGTGTTTTTATTCAAATGCTTCAACCGTTTATCATCTAAAGCATAAGTGCAACTTGTAGTAATGGTTCTGATCCCCTTTCCCTCTAATTTCCTCGAAGATTTTCGCTGGCTTCGCCATCTTGCTTTGTGCTGTCTGGTTGATTCCTGTATATGATTACCATTCAAGCACAAGCGTCTCCGATGACCAGAGGTGCGTCAGCCAGGTATGTGCCCCTTTTAATCACTTTATCTACTCTGTACAAAAAAAAACATTAATTTGTAGTTGCTTTTATTTTTGCATTGTATAGTAACTACTAGTAATTCGATGCGTCATAGGTTTGTTGTGCAGCACCTTTCCAAAGAAATAAGTACCAGGAAGGTGTGGAGCACAACGTTTGGCGTCGTTAGAAAACAAATTTCACCCCCCGTGAATAATACATTTTGTTACTATTATACAAGCAAAGTCTCAACGGACTTCCGGGAGACGGTTGACGCCTGGTGAATACTATCAGGGATTCTTTTTAGACAAAGTTAGTCGCTGCGAATACGTGAAAAAGCCCGGAGGAACGCAAAGCTGACCTCTCTCTGGCTTGATTATCAACTAGCATTTGCATACGATAGGACATACTAGAACGGAAGAAGTGCACCTGTTATATAGAAAGCTGGTGTATTTGTATGCATTGGGCGCGAATTGACCCCCGCCGTGTCGGCGGAGTACGATTTTGTTTAGCCGAAAGCTTCGCGTTTGTGCAATCATTGAAACGTGTCCGTCACTCGTAACGAAACTATATTGTTGAAGTAAGCGACAAAGAAAACATTATATTTTTTATAACAATATACTAAGAGTTCTAAACCTGTCGCATTGATGTGTGACAGACATTCTATAATGGCTATAAGATTTTCTTTAGGCGCCACGTTCGACTTTTCGTTACATCGTATTCACTTTTCCTCCGTCAACGCCGAATTACTGTTGCGCAACTAGTGTCACTAATGGACAGAATATTGAAATTGGCCTCCTTCGCTTTATGTGGGCGTCTTGAGTGTTTTCGCGTGGAGTCGACGATGCTTACGCTTCGCTGATGATATCGTTCGTTGTCTGATCTGCTGCAGAGAGGCCAGAGCCGATCGACAACATAGCTATTGATCGCAGAGAAAACAGGACTTTCAGTTACGGGTAACTGGCACGCTAATCATTACGTAATACTCTACAGTACTATTTAGTTAGTGGTCCCTGGGACGTCGATCGATATTGCCCCGAACGACAAAGGCAACCTAAACTCCAGAAAACTACATATGCAATATGTTTTCCCTGCCGTAACGTGAATCTAAGCAAACGTCGATTCACACAGCTGATTACGTCATAATGGACTGCTTTCCATATTCGGCCTTGTCACACATTCCAATCGGAACTAATAGTTTGAAATTTACTTAACCTGATTGATTGTGGACCAATTCGTGCGAAACCAATTTTATCAAATTGGTGATGATGGGCTCATTGACAATCGAGTATCTCTGACTCGTCCTTAAGGAATACGAAGAACTTTAGGAAATGCCTTAATGAAGCATTCTTAGTGATCAAGCCGGAATGCACCGCAAGCCACCTATAAAGAGTCTATTACAGGTAATTGCCGCCGGTGTCGGAACTATTTGTGGTTGGCATATAACCTCATTTTTGCTCACAGTCTGCAACCTTTGGTCTATGACATTTAATAACGACTCGTGTACAGTTACTTCACCCTCAGCAAAGAATCCCAATGAATCTTCAAAGCTAAAACTTAAAACAGTACCAAGCATACTCCCCAAGGACCATTATCTGACGTTTAGTAATTTTAAGAAATCCTTTTTGTAGAGTGTATATTAAGAGTTTTTCATGTGCTAATTTTTACACTTCTTTTCGTTGTTTAGAATAACAAATACAACTACTAGTAAAAATCAAGTGCTTTTTTAAAATAAACAATACATGGTAAGAAAAAATATCTCCTTCAAAATAGCTAAAGATGTCTGTTCATGTAGCAAATATCTGACTTGATCCGATCCGGCAATATATTGATTTACTTCTATGTTGCTACTTTCTGGCTGTATTACTTAGCATCTTCTGCTGCTGGTCGACACATTTAATCGATTTAATCCAAGGAGTGAGCTCACGTCTTGGACACTTTGAATAATGCAAGACTTTAGTTAAATGCTATCTAAAAACTAATTAAAGGATGAATGTTTATCGCAGAACAAAAAAATTTCGACATGTAGTGCGTTGGCGTTCTTTAGATGATTTATTTAATGTAGCTACTGCTTTGGTGTGATAAGTAATTCGACACGAGTCACCATTGGTCAACCCTTTGAAAGCTAGAGGTCTGTGTTCTGATGGGCAAAGAGTGATGTTAAATTGACGGTTTAGCTGGTAATCATTTGCAAGCAACGTGAAAGGCGGGTACTAGAAATACATATATCCCTTAACGGCAGGGATATCTGTCGCTATTTCGTGACAGTCTGCTATCTACCGTATGTATTGGCTCGTTGTTTTGCTCGTTTGGAATCAGTTCAGAGGCTCTACAAATTTTTGTCATCTGTACTTTGTCCTAGTCTTGACAAAACTAGTACTCCATTTGGCGGTAAAGTAAACCGACTGCTTGGCGAGAATTCAGCGGCAAATTAGAACGTTCCAAATACATGTGTACTGCATAAAGGTGAGCTAACCCCCTAATATGGACACAGATTCAACCTACCTGACTGACCATAGTATCCTGCTGCTTCCTGAGCACTACATACAGAAAGGACGAGAGTTCTTCGAGCCGATCGGGGATGGTCAAGCTGAAATTGACAAACTGGAGAATCGAATCGAAATACAGGATGGGTTGTATACCAGGCGGATACCTGACAGACGAAATGAAGATCGAAGAATTAATCGTTTTACCTTTTTAGGTTGCAAGCCGGTTTCCCCTTAGCACAGCTAGGACAGCCTGTGCACGCGCTTTGCAGACGCCCGCGGACTTTACCGCTTATTCTGCAATAAGCACTTCCTCTTCGGCTACCTTAACTACAACAACTTGTGTCGCTACTGTTTAAGGATAGCGAAGAACTAGAACTGCACATATTTTGGACGGTGTGCTCAATCAGACCGGCTGCGTGATGACGCAGCAAGTCGACGCTGTCGTAAGTGACGAGGTCGCTGGTGGGGATGTGATTCGTAAGAAGGTCGACGAATTGTCCCTAGATGAAATCAAGGCCGAACTTGAGAGACGCAAGTTGGATTTCAGCGGAGATGATTACGCGATTCTGCATGAACGATTGACCGATTCAATGATAGAGGAGGGACTCGATCCGGGAGTATACGAATTCGAACTCGAAGCTGAGGAGGATGACGAAGAGGACGATGACGATTCGGCTCCTACAGCCGACCAGATTGACAGTAGGAACGTCAACGAGAACAACAATATCAAAACGGCGAATGAAAACAGTTCAAGTAAGGGAAAGGAGTCGCCAGCCGTAGTCAACAATAACAACAATACGAATAACAGCTCATCAAACAATAGTTCGACGGCAAGCACGAAAAAGAAAGAGCTGCCTGCACCAAAGAAGCCCACTGCGCCAGTACAGTATAAAGAAGTACCTGGTAACCATCTGTGGGTTAGTGGTTTGTCATCGCGCTGCAAGGCTGCAGATCTAAAAAAGTTTTTTGCGCGCTATGCCAATGTTGGTTCAGCAAAGATCGTTGCTAATGCACGCACCACCAGTGCTCACTGCTACGGCTATATCACTGTTGAAAGTCCTGCCGATCTCGAAAAGTGTGTTCAGAAGCTGCACAGTACCCGGTTTGAGGGGAGTTTCATTCGAGTCGAGATATGCAAGCTTGCCCCTGCCGATCAGTTGAGGAAGGTCGAGATGAAAAACCGTGAAAGACTGGCCCAACAGAAGGAAGAGTTTCGTAAGCGTCAAGAGGAACGCAAAAAGAAAATTGACGAAGAGCTTAAGCGCCGCGAAGAACAGCATCGGCGTGATGAAGAAAAACGCAAAGAGATCGAGAAAAAACGCGAAGAGGAACGAAAGAAGCGTCGTGAGGAAGACGTGAAGAAGGACCACAAAAAAGATGACCGCAAGCCGCCGGAGCGCAGAAGGACGCGATCCCGATCTCCTGTAGAACGCCGCAGGCCCGAGCCGTTCAGAAGACAGGAGCCTGTACGTCGCTCTGCGGGACCCCCATTGCCACGGAGATTTAATTCACCAGCAGCGCATCGTCGAGGCTCACCACCGTATTCTCGGGGCCGTCCCAGGCGGATGAGCCCTCCTTCACCATTTAATCGTGGAGCGCCTCCCCCACCATTTGTGCATGGACCGGTCGTTATGGAACGCATGCCGCCAATAGATCGTAACCGTGTAATCGAACGTGATCGACGACTCGAAGAGGAGCGTTTCGAGGTGGAGAGACGGCAGCGCGCTGAGGCCGATGCTCTTGAGCGGGAACGTCGCCAGCTACGAATGGAAGAAGAACGATTGGAACGGGAGAAGCTTGACTTGATCCGCCTGGAGAGAGAGCGCGTTAAAAAGGAAATGGAGGAAGTAGCGGCCCGTAAAGAAATGGCGGAACGCCGTCGTCAAGAGGAGCTTCGACGTCAGCAGGAAGAAGAACGAAAACGTGAAGAATTGCGCCTGGAGATGGAGAGACGGCCGCGAGAGATGCCTCGACCGCCAATGCCATCGCCCGCACAAGCTCCTATTGAGCTTTATGATCCCCGCCTACCTCTACCAGTCGACGACTACGGTCGCGGTCAAGCTGAAGATAAATTTGGTAGCAGACTTGGCCCGCCATTACAGAGGGATCAAGCTGGCGGTCGCCATGATGATCGGCGTAGAGATGAACGTCGCCGAGAGCCACCAATGAGTCGTGACGATAGAAGACCACCCGAACAGCTCGATCCGTGGAATTCTTCGGAGCTGAAGAGAAGCAGTGCAGGTGACTACCTCGACCAGCATCCACAGCACGCGCAACACCCGTCTCGACACGATTCTCAGCTGGGTCCGCCACCTAAGAGAATGAGATCGAGATCACCTCCTCCACAACGATCGGCCAGCAGCAACTCCGGTTATGGGGTTCTTTCTGCAGCTGATTATAGCATTGGTCGTGGCCCATCCGGAGGCGATCCGTGGCCACCGCAAGGGTCAAGGGGACAGATGAGCTCTATGCCCTCTTCAAATTTCCTTGATTCGCGCAGGCCGGCACCGCCTCAGCTTCAATCGCGCACTCCAGAAGTACCTTCAGGTGGTGGTCAGTGGTCGACGAACCCAGCGCGCGTTGCATTTCCTCCTGCGTACGGACACCAGGAGTCATCGAGGGGCCTCCTCGGCAGTTCATCTGGCCCGTCTGCCAGTTCATTTGGACTTGGAGCGCTGTCATCTTCGGGCTTCAGGCGTTATTGAGCTGCCAGTGTTGTAACACGGTAACAAGAAAGATATGACCATCATCATCATAGATTACCGTGTTCCTATTGACAGTAAAAAATGGCGGTGTTTCATGTTGTGGGTTGTGTGCATATGCCAGATAAAGAGAACGGTGGGACCAAAAAGGCGAGAAGTTGGGACGCAGAAGATCCTCATCTTCTGGGGGTGGAAAGCGCTTGCTGTGAGGGTGTTACGAACGCACAACAAATAGTCGAGGAAGGCAAGATTGAAGCGGTGACTGACGCACAGACCAAAAAGGACGAGAAGTATATATCGCTCTTTGCATCAGCAGACAGGAATCACCAGCCAGGATCTTCAGAAGCGTTCTCTACTTGGTCCTTCGCGTCAACAACACAATATCGATGCTTTCGGACGGGTATGCTCAATTTGCAGTTAGCATAATTATCCTTGAGACAGTATTGCCGGTATTATCACTACTTAAAAAAGTAATTGTGCCACGAAAACTACTTCTTTCTCACACCGATATTGACTTATAATCAACGAAATCTTTAATTATCATTAATATCTATACGTTATTGGATAGAGCAATTGTAGCTATATCAATTGCTGGGGACAACGGAAGCAATATATCTAGCAGTACTTATCCGAAGCGTTGATATAGTTGTTTTCCCCCGGTATTGTTGGCATACATTTTTCCTATCCATCGTAGTATAGCAAACATATTTTGCAGTCTGCACCACACGTCGAGTATTGAGAGGCATCTGCAGCATTTCGGTTTCTAGCAAGAACGAAGCTGCGTATCTCGCTAAAAACAAGATTTTATCGACATGTTAACAAAGTGTGTGATTAAAATATTTCAACTCCGACACGTTTACATGAAGTTAGTCCTCCGTATATTATGATATAATAGACTAATATTTGCTTCTACCCTACATATGCGTAAACAAATGGTATGAAAGCGCTTGTATTACGTTTAAGATGGTTAAACAATAAACTTCAATACTAAAAAGAAGTCAATTTAAATCCTGTTTGTTCTTTATTAACTGCCAATTTTAACATGAGTTATCTTGACTCATTTCTCGCAGGTAAGCTACCGGTGGAAAGCATCGATGCGGAGTAGGGATAAAGCACCGACCCCTGTGTTACATCTGAATCGCATTGCGAGGAATTTATTCTTATTACAAAAGCTGGCAAATTATAAATAATAATTATTATTATTACGTTAAACTTATTTAGAATTATAACAGGAAGAAATTGTAAAAAATTTGTTTGCTCGAAGAACAACTTCATGTACTAAATAAGAAATATATGTTCATGATCAATAAACATATAAATGGAAAGATTCCATCAAAATCCTACTGCTGTTATTTACATATGAACAAACACAGGTATATCATTGAAAGATTGATAGAGAAAAATGTTATGATAGAAAAAAAAACAAAAAGTACGAAATTCGCATTACTCCAAAACTGTTCCAATAAAAATGTCAACTAAAGCAAAATCATTAAGATAAAGGCATCTTTTAATATATTAAGTCTATGGTTTTCCTTGACAACAATGGCTAGCCTAGTTTTAATATATCTGATCAGTATTTCTCATTTAGGCGTATTATTTTTTTGTAAACGTTTGTTTTAAAAATTGCGTGAATAATGTTAGTGCTTTGTGCCAGGTTAGGTTCCCTCGATACATTAAAAAAAAAACTAAAAATTGGATAGTCTTCTTTACGCGGCTTTTTATGAGATACCGTTTGTACTAATCATATTTTCTAGCAATGTAAAATAAGTCCATTTAATACAGTCTTATTTCAAACATAGGTGTATGCACGGTGTACTAAAAAAGTTATGCAATGCTATGAAATATCAACCAAAGTCTGACAATTTTAAAATCACGTTGCACTTACTGTATTTTCATTCGTTGTTCTCTGAATACTCAAATATGTATTAGAATGGCCGTGTTTACATCCATAATAGTAAGGCATCACGCAGTTTCTATTTCACCGTAAGAGAAACTATCAAAGGTAATTTTAAACTGTCAGCTATCAGTTAATTTCCATAAAATTGCAAAGCCTTTGGAACATTTTGTACAGGCGGTTAGTATATTTATTAACGCAAGCAACGCCTTTTTTGAAGTGCTTGAATCAGTTTGGGTTTAATGAGATGGAGTGGTGGGGGGGTTTCTTTGTGGTGGAGTTCAGTGGAGTAGTTTTCAAGCTCAAACCGAGTAGTACATGATGTTACTAGGCGGTTTTACAAGCGAAACCAGCGGGTTTTTAACCTTCTTCTTTTTAACCCGACATTTAACGTACGCGACATTAGCAAGTTCGACTGGTGAAAACTACAGTCTTCTAGAAATTCGTGAGTCAATATCGGTTAAGCTTATCACAGAAAAAGTAAGTTTAAAGATAAAAAGATCTAGTTTTCATGAATCAACGCTCAGTGGTCAAATGCTTGTCGTGATATAATGGAATATACTCGACAACGCAGCTGTTGATTTATATTCGAGACATAGGTATGCACGATAGTTAAAGGCTTTGAGGGAAGAAAAGGGTTATTAAAAGGTACTGCTTCTATTGCACACATTACCGAGAAAGGTAAAGTGCATAGAGCTAGGTATAGCTGAAGTCCTTTTAGTGGCAAACAACAACATAAACAGCATGACTAGGATAAGAGCTCTCGTGCTAACTCACCACACACCGATGAATGAGCCCCTTTCTGCTAGAACCACAAGACCTGCTTGTAAGACAAGTTTGCCCATAGCGACAAGTGCGGAAAGGGCGCACGATGAGTAAAGCGATAGACACCGATGGGCTGAAGGAGAGAAGTTAGTGGGGGATCGAGCAACAAAAGAAGCTCCACCCGATTTTCAACCGATAGACAGACAGAATACGGTCGCGACGGTGTCAGAGCCAACGATAATAACAATGGAGATAACGTCAAGAATGTTTGCACTATTACCCTATTACACCCACACCTTCGCTCGCTTTCTTCCTGCCATGCACAATAATATTCTATGAAGTATGAGAAAATCGTAGACTGTGTTTGTTATGTGTGAATCGTGGCCGATACACATAAAGACGCGAGCAGACCATTACGACTGAGGATGGATCTTAATGAAGATAGGATTGCTTAAGTTGCGAACATTTGTCCCTCCTCGACCAGCTCGTCCGCGGAAAGTAGATTTGTGTCGTAGTCTCTGGGTGCATTCTAGGTGAGTTCACGCTGCTGTTGTTGATGTAGGCTATTATGACCTTATTGTCGCGGTGAATAATGAATCGTCAGCCAAGGCTGCTTTATAGTCACAACGGACACAACCTTGAAGCGCATTTGATCTGTTCTTAGATCACCAGAAATTATCAAAAGTTTAGCAGTTACGTCATGAGGTGACGGGAACACTTCCACAGGCGGAAGGAAGCAGCTGACTTACGATTGCTTTGGGTACTTTGAGCTGCTGCTATTTCAGCTGTCTAATACCTTTCGGATGGATACGGTCAGCCAAGATGCAACAAACAAACCACCGATGTATGGTGACTCAATGTCTTTAATTTGAAACTGCGACAGTAGATTGTCATACAAACAGGCTCGTTCTTGGCTAAGAACCTACCGGAAAACGGAAGTGATGAAGCAATTGCGAAAGATGGCCAGAGTCAGCGGAGTGGCCGGGGCTCTTGCCGAAAGCGGAATGTTCATTTGCTTATCCTTGGCCTTTTCTCGTTGAAGGCTATGGTTTGTCGATGTTGAATGAAAGGAATAGAGTTTTGCCATTGGTAGTATTGTAGTATAGTAGCCTAGGCCGGTTCATAGAACTGTGCTAGCTATTGCAGGCTGTTAAAGGTGGAATCCGCAACGTTGAACGGCCATTCTTTTTTGTTAGAAATATCTCTGGGGTAGTCCGAATCGAGTAAATGAATTGGGATGACGGTGGTAAGAATCAAGAGCCTAGCAAAATCAGCTTACAATACTATAGTTAGCAGCTATCTTAACTACTGTTAGTGCTAGTACTATCGCAGCCCACACTTGTACCATTGAAGGGAACAGATTAGTCAGCAGCAGCAACGAACCCTGCATGCTGTACTGTGTACTCTTTGTGGGCTCCTATTTGCGGTTGTCAATTATGAGTTCGGGTCCTGTCTCTCGGATCGCCCCTTAGTTCTATCGGTATTTGTGGCGGTTCTATCAGCGGACCGCGGCTAAGTGATGATAAAGGTTGAGGTCGTTGTCCAAACTGTCATAGCGTGGCGGGCATTCCGGCCAGGAGTGAGGCGTCGCAAGGGACAAATAGGGTTACGAGGGTAAGGGCTTCGGAGGGCGCCGGCGACAACCGACAGTGAGTGAGTAGATGGTAATGTGTTCAGTGGGAGAGGGTAGAACGTAGCCGTCTACGGGAAAAGCCATTTTGAAGAACTCTGGGGCCAACGGACCTAAGAGTCTACGGACATGCGCCTCGCGCAGTTTTCTCCCTCGCGCTCCACAGGGCCTTAACTGCTTCCACGGCCACCAACGTCTCGTTCACTCGCCCCTTCCCACGCTTCTTCCCCCCCAACGTTACTACGACCCCCTCCCCAATAGCACTACCATGACAGCGGTGGTTGAGGCGGCCTTTGCTCCCTGCTCTGTCTGTGGCCGCCACCGCCACCGTTGCAGCAGCACTAGCCATCGTCGTCTCTCCCATCGTAGGCAAGGAGACAGTCAGCAGGCCCCGCTGCTGCTACTGTCGCTGCCGTTACTCCAGTGCTGGGGGTTGCTACCGTAGAAGACCTCGTCGTTACCGCCACTGCTGCTGCTGCTGCGGTTCTTACTCTCGCCGTACCAGCAGCAGCATCACCGCGACCAGTGTGTCTTGCTATTGCTGCGCCTAGTCACAACTGACTAAACCGAACTAGCAAGCGACAAACCGACGGACGGACAGCCAGTCAGTCAGCCAGCCCCCTGCGTACGCGACTGATTGCCAGGCTATCTGCTTTTCTTCTACTATCCAAGTGAAGTTGGGGTCCTCCGTGCTGTCGTGCTGCTGCTACGGTTACTGCTACTATCTTCTATCGAGGAAAACGAAGACAGCGATAGCTGCCGCCGCATCGCTGCGCGTACGTCCGTTGTCGAGGACGTCGCGCGTTTGTCTTTGTCTTTGCCTAGGTAGTAAACGTCGTCGGACTGGTTATCGTCGTGGTGAAGGTAGGCCGCCACTGCCGCGTGAGTGGTCGTAGTCAGACAAATCCATCCTGTTTGTCACTAGATTGTCGGTGGTAGGGAACAGCGATTTAAGGAGCAGAAGAACGCTGGCTAAGGAATATTGACGCGTTTATGTCGACAGGAAGCGACAGACTCACTAAAGGACTTGGACAAAAGAATTACATCAACTAGGCGGTCTATTTTGAGATAAACGAGGAAAGGACTGCCAGAGGCAAAAAGATCCAGGACAGAACGCAGGAAGCCACAGGAACACAACGTTATTGGTAGTGTTGGATCGACTTGGTGGGTAAGTAGACCAACGCACAGTGGACAACCAGAAGCAAGATCGACGGGTTAAGTCATTGACCATCTCTGGTGGCTGGCGATATAGCCATCCCGGCCAGCTATCGGCTATTAACAGTGCGGCCCGTAAAGAGGTGGCCCTCCGAAAACGATATGCAAGCTGCAAGCTGACCGATCTAAGGCCACCCTGCAAGATCAGCGGGATCAGGCAGCGTCCGGAAACGCGGTCCGCGGCGCCAGTGGCCCCGGCCCGCGCCGAAGCATCGCCAGACGCGCGCGAGTTTGCTTCGAATTGTTACAGCTAGTGCAGGTGTTCTGGCGACGTTGGCGTTGTTACTTGCCTTCGTGCTGGCGTGCGAAGAAGAACTGGCCGAGGTGGTGCAATGAGGCGCTGGACCGCGGGGCCTGTAACCCTGCAGCAGGGCCTGGCCGCCGCACTCGCACCGCTCGTGATCACCCTATTCGTAGCTGGTGCAGGTGAGTTCGCGCAACCACAACGAGACAAGCGGTTGAGACGACGATTTTCGAAACAAATCTGCCAGTTTCTTTGATATAACGAAAATTTTTGACCAATCGAGACCTGACAAGACGCAAACAATTTTGCAGCAATGAAACGGCATTAGTAGCAATAGTTATCCTCAGCAAAAACAATTTCAGCTCATGTGAATGAACTCCGCTTGATATGAGTCGTATCCGCGTTTCAAACGAGTGGCTACTGAAACCAAATCGGTGTGAGCAAACGTATCAATGGAATAGTTCCAGTGTACATCTTTGTTTCCTTCTTGGTCTAAAGTGATGTTCATAACGAAATATCATCACGTGGGCGCATTCGTGTGTGTTATGATTGTGTAGTGGATGTGGCACTGTCTTGACAAAGCAACCGACAAAGAGTTAGATGAACTGGAAACATACGCATATTGAATAATAATAGTCGTTGCTAATATGGGTTCGGCGATTTTTGTTATACGACCACGAAGCGCGGTGGTAACCGTGTACCAACCCATGCATCTGTGTAGTGCTAGTTAATTTTTCCGTCTAAGAGTAGATATATATATACATGTATAATGCAATGAGTTGTTTCTTGAGAAGCCAATACAGTTCAACAGGTTAGTAGGAATCTTCTACTTAGCAGTTATTGCCTGGGCAGCATAGGATAAGATATCAACTAGTGTAGCCAGTACTACCTTAGCAATGGGAAAAGAAAGGGTACGACATCCGATAGAGCCAAAACCTCTCATAAGGTGTAATGGGGGTATAAAGCGTCCTGTGGCTACGGAGTTATTTCGGGCATAAGTGCATACCACTTTCACACCTGCAGAAGCTGAGCCTGTCGCCGTCAACGAAATGAGCAATCAATTGATTCCAGTCAACCAAGGTTCAACCAAGGTTGTTACCTTCTTACATCTCGACGCTCCCTTTTGGAATTTCTACAATTAAAATGTCTACTAGTCGCCACCGAGAATTGCCGCTGCTGTGACTGTGGCCCATATCGATGTATCTGAACGTGTTGAAAAGTCGAATGTAACGCTAGCTTAGTTGAGTCCGCATTGCTATGTAAAATAGTATTCTGTCATTAAATTTCTTCTCTGAGCAAATGCGGCAAGCACTAAATCTAACATCTCTATATTGATCAGCTTGTCAATATTCCGCTACTCACGCAAGTATTATTTATGAATTTGCCATATAATCATCAATGTCAATGGCATGCTTGACGTTTTTAATCGTTTGTCCATTCATTTCGTTTGATTAATTCGTCGACACGCTGTAGATCTTAGTGTGTATTATGAGTCCGTCATGTGAAGTTTGAAGGCGGAGAGGGGCTAACATCGGTACTACTGGGTATCGGATGCAGTACGTGTAGTATAATGCGGTATGCGTCTTATACCGTGGCCACTTGCAGGTGCTGTACAATCAAACGGTAGTAACGGTCCAGGCAATGGAAAGGCTGACGAAAGGCTCCACAAAACAGCAACTATTGGAGATAACGTGATACTCGAATGCCCTTTCGAGTATCCAAATGATACGCCCGTGCCAATCCTTGTGCAGTGGCACAAGAAGGACCACAAGATACCAATATACATCTGGTACGAAATAAATCAGCTAAAAAAAATTGTTTAATAAGTTTTTCATTAGTATCTGGAATACGAAAAACGGAGATACAAAGCATGACACGACAGGCGTCGTTCTCTTTTGTACCATTTACATATAGCTCTGTTTATAATTGGCAATATCTTATTTGAAATTCATATTGGTGAAAACGATCGACATAATCTGCTATATAGTATTACACTAATGCTATAAAGTAAAGAAATATCCTTTACTGTCCAACCGAAATAGACAAACGTACTTACACTTTGTTAGTTCATGTCCAACTGAATGTTTTTATCACAAAAAGGCTGAGACCAATATACGTTGAACAAGCAAATACAGACGATCATTGCAGAAAATAGATCAAATCTTTAAGTGACACTACTATTTAAACGTTGATCGCTATAATAACTACTGTATCATAATGTCGAACTTTTTTCGATAGCAAAACCCGTTTATTACTTTGCGCATCTCTGAGACTCAAATGCTTAACGTACAAAATCATGTCGACTAGCTACTAATTGTTATGTTTTGCCTTAGGTACGAGAGTTATCCACCGCACGCGTCCGACGAATACAGAAATCGAGTTTCGCTATCGGATAAAGCGTCACTGAACCTGACCAGCGTCCGGGTCAGCGACAAGGGCTGGTACGAATGTACCGTGTTCTTCATCAATCGTGAAGAGGCCAAGAATGGCTCGTGGATTTATTTGGACGTGCTCGCGCCACCGCACTTCAAGACCAAGCCTCCAGAGACCTTATACGTGCGCAGCGGTGAAACAGTATCTCTGCCTTGTAAGGCTCAAGGTAAGCAACGACCTATATAGATGGTTATAGCTCATCTCGCATCTCTAACGTCACGAACACGTACAATTTCCTTGGAACGCAAAGATCTATTTTATTTACTTAAAGACAGCTTTCAATTTCTAAAGCTCGACGAACTAGTAGTTCAGGAACACCGCACGTGTGAGAAAAAACTAAACATTTATATCTAACATAGCGAAATCCACCCTTTTAGCATATATAATCGTGCCCTCAAGATCGTAGAAGCTTATTAGGCAAATCCCTATATATACATATGGCTTCAAGTGTAAGATAGGGACTCCTTTTTATTCCGTTTTTTAAGACTGTGTATGAATCGAAGCAGATCTTTCAACGAAATTTTTACATGTACTAAATAAAAACCGTTATCCATCGCCAGGAAAAGTTCAATTCGGGATTTAAATTACTCACAGGCCCGTTTCAAAAATTCTCTTTACAACTCTGCTATCGCCCTCTGGATAACGCGAATAAAAGAGTCGACGTTGTCTTGTCGAAACTTGTTTGACTTTCGGTTAATAACGCGCTGCACATAGTAATCCAAGAGCTTCATATCTGGGCTGTACGGCGTCCATATATGCTTATCCCAAAACATGCTTGTATTTTCAGGCAACCAACCCTACACTAACCGGTCTGTATGAGCCGGTCCACCATATTGCTGGAAGATGCATGGTCTTCACTCACACCTCACCTCTCCACGGTTACACAACAGTTTGTAGAATATACGGATACACTTATATAATGACACGCTCACCTCTTTTAAAAGAAGGATGATGCCATTACGAATGCTTTGGTGGATACCATATTCAAAACATGACGTTTTCTTTTATCGACAATAGTAGGCACATTTTTTGGATTGTGAGCAAACCAGAAATCATTTCTGCGGTCCATTTTTGAATTTCCAATAAAAAGGTCATCGTTGAAAGCGACCTTCGCCTTCATTCTTGAAGTAATTCATAAAATTGAGTAGCAAACAATAGTGGTCAACACTTCTTGGTTGTATAGACTTTAAAGAGCATCTGTCTAATTTCGGTGACGTGTACCTGAGGCTTTCGTTAACGATCTGTGGCATTGTGCGCTCACTTACACCAAATTTCGTCATTAACGTCTTGATCGAAACAGAGGTTTTATGGACGCATTTTTGGTCGGTTGGGATTAACTTTGAGGTCCGCATTGTTTTGTTTTCTGTAACTGACTTTTTGTCGTGCTATGCTGGGACCTGGTGGTGTTGCATTCTCATTTGCAACACGGTACACCGTCGATTTGAGGTGACCCAAGAGGTCTATAAGCTCGGTGAGGGTTCGTTCAGCGTGTAGAGATTGGATAATAATTAATCGTCGCTCAAATCCCAAAAACAACGCACTGTTGTTCGTCATGACGAGTTTATTATTTTATTGTAGAAAGACATTGCTTACCAAGAGCAGCTGATGATCGTGTGCATGTTCCTTACGATAAATAGCACGCCAACGCCTGTACCAATTTAGATGCCGCACCCTGTATATGTACGGGGCATGGCAGACATTTCCTGACAGTTTGAGGGTCTCTACCTAACTTCCTGTTTGCACGCATTTTTACCACACGCAACGGTCTTGCTACTTGAGCAGACATAAAACGAAGGATCTCCTTCTTTCAAGTGACGTCTGCTATTTCCTCTCTCTTCCTCTGTCTTTTTTTTTTGTACAAATATATGTGCACTGCATAACTTCTGAATGAATCTCAATCCTGACTAAATACCAACTTCTTGCGCCTCTTTCTCCGTCTGTAAACGCAGGCACGCCAACGCCAACGGTGACCTGGGAGAAAGATAGCACTGTGATCGAGCAGGCAGGTGACGACGCACCACTGCAGATAAATGAACACCAGCTGCGTATCGTTAATGTCAAGGAAGGCGACACGGGTTTGTATCAATGTATAGCACGCAATTCACAGGGTACTATGGAGGCTCGTTCCCGCGTGATTATTGCGGGGTCGGCTAGAATTATTAGCCGTCCGCAAAATATAACAGTAACTGAGACGAAGGTGGCTGAACTGCCTTGCGAGGCTAGGGCTCAGCCATCCAACATTACGCATAAATGGCTGTACAACGGGGTGGAAATTTCGCGACTGACGTGGTTGCAGACGCGAACTCTGGTTCGCCAGGATGGGGCGTTGTTTATAAACCCGACGAATGCGGATGACTCGGGGTGGTATACCTGTGAAGTGTCAAACGGTAAGTTTAAAATAAACAGGCTTTGTAGAGAAAATAGTTTTAGCTCACTATTTGCGAACATTTATTACTATGTGTGTGGATTCCTGTAAACATGACATTATATTCTTAACTATAAGAATTCAACATACTGAGGCGGCATTGTACCATCTGTGCTACTTTGTAAAGACCTCCCAATAAAGCTGATATGAAATATTGTTCTTATTGAAATAGCGTATTTTTACGTTCGCTTATTCAATCTGTCACAGTAAAACCTCGTAAGACGTCTTCTAAAATTAAATTTTTTATCCTTTTAAAATTGTTCCTGTAAGGTATTGGTGACCCGGAAAGTGCGCAGGCCTATGTCAATGTCGAATTTCCCGCAAAGGTGAATTTCACACCAAACTTCCAATACATGCCGCTTCATCTAGCCGGCATGGTAAAATGCTTCGTGATAACCAACCCGGACCTTCAGTACGTAACGTGGTACAAGGACAGGCGGCTTTTCGAGCCATCGACCGTCAACGGCGTCGTGGCACTTACTAATGGCACATTGTACTTCAGCAACGTCTCGAAAGAGCATGAGGTAAAAACAAAAACTTGGCCATGCAATCAGAAGCGCCTAAACGAACGCTAGCTGTTTTTGCACTTAAACATTTCTGTTACATATCATCTTCGTATAGCGTAGTGATTCGGCGACAGAATCGACAATATTAGACATCTAAAGGTCCTGTATTTTCAAGGGCTGGAGAAGATCTTCTATTCGGGTTGGCCATCAACCGTCTCATTGTCTTCCGACACATTGGATATGCTTATCCTTGTATATATCTACGAATACTTATCGTAGGATTTATTCCATGTCGAAACACCGAAATGACGTGTTATGTGAAAAATATACTTACGCAGAAATTAAGTTGCCTCGTGCTGTTTGTCGAATTCCAATAATTGCTTCTTTTTTCAGGGCGCCTATATGTGCACACCATACAATATTCACGGGACCGCAGGCGCTTCAAAACTAATGGAGGTGCTCGTCCGCGAGCCGCCAGTATTCTCTGTAAAGCCGAAAGAAATCTATCAGCAACGTAAAAACGCTGACGTGACGCTCGTTTGCGAAGGAAAAGGCCAGCCAATGCCTACCATCAACTGGAGAAGGGCTGATGGAAGGCCATTACCGAAACAGCGTTTTTCCATTAATCAGGGTAAGCTTTCTAATTTACGCGCATTATCATTATATAAATTCAGCTGTATAAGATAAATACAGCCTACCGAGTTGATCAATCGAACAAAATTTGATTTTAAATTTGTGTTAGATTTTATCAACAAGGTTGAGAAAGAATACTGTGAAATTCTGCAATCCATCCCAGAGGTCGGTGTTACGATAGCCCGAACCTCAATAAACCACTCACAGATCATTTCGGGCTTTCGTGAATACACATTCGCCAATTGGAGGTCTCATTGGTTCCTCTCCAGCAAATCGTTATCACGGGATGGCTGGGACTAAAGTTGGTATTAAAAATTGACGACTTCGATCAGCGCAGGCAGAGTCGTCTCGTTTGTCTAATTTATCATGGTGGCGTCATTTCGGCACCGGCTCCAATCTGCCGAAACTTAGCCGCTCAGAGCTTTGGCGAACAGCGTGATTGACCTACTCTGTCCGCTAATCTGCAGTGTAAAACGCAGTCAGTCGAGACGCCGGCCCCCGCGGCCGCAGCTCCAACCTATTTTATCTATGATCATCTCTGCTTACATTTTTCTGCCTCATCCAACAACTCATCGCAGAGGCAGCCTAGCCAGAGATCACGATTATGATATTTAGTACGTAGCGCAGGTGTCCGTCTGATTTCCTACCGCACCCCTGTTTACCTAGGGATCGCGAATCGTGAGTGTATTGCCTTCAACAATAATATATAATTATTTTCAATGTTATGGTTAAGGCCTTTGAATGAGATGAGCTGCTATGGCATTACGGTAAAGTGGTCGCAAAAAGGGCCTACGGACCGTTGTAGAATTTGCACATGCAGTTGTTCACTGATTATTTGCAATGTACCTAAGGAATGGAGCATGAAACTTACCGCAAGGGAAAGCAGGTAAAATAATACGTACTTTTTATTCATTTCGTGCAAATACAGCTTAATTTTCCAGATCCATGCTTCTGCTAACCATTTTATCTCATTAATTTTTAGTAACCTTTAAATTAATTTATAAATGAATACATTTAATTATATGAATTAACTGTATTTAATATACGGCCGTGGCAATTACAGAGATCGTCAAGACAGTATCGTCGGGTAACTTAACGTTGAAGAGTATTCAAAAGGAAGACCATGGACGGTATGAATGCATTCTGCAAAATGAGGTGGCCACATTGGTGACGTCAAGTCTCCTGCTTGTCGAAAGCACGACCCCCCATGCACCAACAAATATCTCGGTGAGCGCGGCAGCCTCGTCCGCTACTGTAAGTTGGCTTCCTGGTTTTGATGGCGGCCATGAGCAGAGCTATATTCTATGGTATCGACCTGAACGCAAGAGCAAAGCACATGAGGTGGATTGGCGTACAATCCGTGTACATCCTGACAATGTGACAAGCATCACCATACACAATCTCGAACCGCAGACTGCATACGAATTTCAAGTCTTGTCGAGAAACGAAGTAGGTGATGGCTTTTTTAGCGAAAGAGTCGTAGCAAACACTACAAGTAAGTGCATTGCCGTTAGAAAAGCAATGATCTTGTTGACGATTGTAGATCAACGTGATGCAACTTATTGTTCTGTGGCATAGTGGCTACCTAGTACCGTGCGTATGTGGATATCGTATCTAGTACCTCGACATATATTAGACCTAGAAATAGATAGCGTGAACAAGGCTTATTGATTTAGCATTTACCGAAAACATATGCACTACTAATACATTTAATCAAGCATTTAAAGCAAGGGATCGGTATGGGAGGGCGAGGGGATGTGAGGTAGCTTCAGCTATTGGCTGAAAGAATATAATTTCGCGTGTTCAATGAATTCCGTTGAAGAGCCAAATGCGCATTAATTCGAGTTACTTATATGCACTGCTTTGCTCTGCCGTTTGATTTGCAAAACTATTCAGGACATGTGGAGGGCCAAAATGGCAGGCCTACGGATGACATCGCTGTGACACAGTCTCCGGGAATTCCCACGGCCCCAGCGAACCCAATAGAAGCGTTTCCGACCTCTCCCTCCGATGAAGTATCGGGACCTCCATGGACTTTCAGCTCAGAGCCGCCTTCGCCTACACCCGATATGCCGCAGCAGTTGACCGTCGTGCCGCCAGTAGAAGTTGGCAAAGAGCTTTTGGTTAGCTGGATGGTACCACCACCATCAAATAATTCGGCTCCATTGAGCCATTTCAACGTTGAGTACAAGCAAGATATTTCTCACGCGTGGACGAAGTCCGCTGACAGTGTGCCCGCTGACAATACTCAGACCATTATGCAGTACCACAGTGAGTGGCAAACACTTATCCTGGCATATCATAGGAACAACATTCAGACAAACGCCCCAGTTAAATTCGAGGCCGTACATTCACAGACAGGGTGTGTTTCGTGCTGAAAAAAAGCCATTTGTCTGAAGTAACGATGTTCTACTGGCAGTAACATCGGACACGTAATACATAAAACGCAGCCAACATTGCTTAAACAAAGAGTATAGAAATAAATAGTGCAGAACGTTTATACTTGGCTTCGAATGAAACAACGTAATCAAGGTGTAAGGTTTACTGGATTTAATAATTAATTTCTTATTGATTTACATTTTGTCCTACCTTTTTTGTCGCCAGCACCGTCAGTTCGAAAAACTTACACGTTTTCGCACTTGTTTAAGGTAATTTCAGGTGCAAACTAAATGTCTATTTGTCACGCAGTGTTTCCAAAATTTTCGTTTTAATTTAATATTTTATAAAAATAAAATCGCATGCGCTGTTTATCCGTACGTAGTGCACGTAAAATAGGCACGCATACACGATCTGAAAGGGTGCTATTATATCTGTTGCAGTGCATGAATACCCTCGCGAGGCTAAAGTTCTTCTAGTACGAGTTGTGGCGTATTCGGCATTTGGGACAACTAACGCTTCGCCGCTGGCGAACATCACCGTCCGAAATGACACTGGCGCCCTCTCGCAGAAATACCGTCGAGATCGGGCAATTGTCTCAGGTGCGTTCCTCATAATAAATGATAGAAATATTCCGTAACCATGTTGAGTAAATAAGTTGCTAATAATTCATTTTTAATTTTCATCTTCTCGTCTATTATCATTTGGCATATCGTTTACCGGTTATTACCCTGTCTTAGTCCTTTGAAATTAGGCATTATTCAAAACTATTTTTAAGCATCTTCGATTATCACAGCATCGGATATAAAGTACCGATATGCACTTACTTCACACACAGCTGAGGCCTAATCTGCATTCTTTAATAAACCATTGTTATACATCTTGCATGATGCTACTCAATTTACTAAATCGTATCCAGAATAGTACTTACGATCAGCCTTTATACCAACATTTACATGAGTTCACGAATGGTATCTAATGTTATGAATCACTACCCCTCGCCCCATTAATATTTTTTTCAATAAAGGCATTGAAAAGAAGCTGATGTTCTTCTACCTAAACACTGTCGTTCGTTCAAATCCATTATTTGTGATCGATATTCGGTGTCGTACAGGAATCGTCGGAGGCATCCTGTTCTTCTTTGTGGCAATCATTCTGTCAGTGTGTGCGGTAAAGATTTGTAACAAACGGCGGCGGCGTAAGGTTGAGAAGGCCTATATGATGGTGACATGTGGCACTTTGCCTGGCCAGCAACAACAATCCCAGCCGCAGTCACAGACGCAGCAATCTCAGCAGGCCGCCGGCGGAATGGCTGGCGTACGGGCAGCAAACGGCGTGGAGTGTAGCCACAGTCAACATGCGGTACATGCCGCCCACGGTGCTCACGCGACCCATGGCACCGTAACGATCAAAAGATAGAGTATGGCCTGCACCCGCTGCCCTCCTCGACCCGAGTAATTAACTGAGTTCAAAATTTCGGAAACTTATGTTGTCATGGATGTTATTAAATAGTCGTTGCCTGGCGCTGTCCGACGTTTGCGCAGGCAACTATTTCGCAGGCAACTAACTCGAACGTGTTGATGAGGAGAGAAAAATGGAGTACCTTCGTTCTAGAAGAATGAAATATTAGTCATAACAACAAGCAACCGGCGACTTAAGCACTGAAATCGCTATTAATTCGTGTTGGTGAAAAATGCTGGTTATATGCTCGCAGTTATCAGCTGCTGCCTGGTCATTTTTTACTGATCTATCAAATATATCCAGCGGGATACTGATTTGACCCCTATCAAATACGCCTATTCAGCGCAGATAGTTACCTGTTTTCATGAATTCTATCCTATAAATTACTAAACCTTACTAGCTTATTAATTTGTTAAAGCTTACTTCTTGATAAGATTCAATGGACATCTGCGTCTGTCTGTCTGTAGCAGTGTAATATAATTCAGTTTTGCGGGAAATAAGTCAGATACTACCGAATTGGGACTATTGAATAACTACGATATGTTGGAGACATTCTGGAACGGAGGTATTCACGAAGACGGCAGCGGGTGACTCGCCAATCGAAAAAACCGAGCAAGCATCACCTAACACCGAAAATATTAGGAAAACAGCTTATTAGCTCATCAAAACCATGACTTCATAGACCACAGTGCTCTCGGCAACAACAACGACAACAACAATAACAATAACAACAAAGATGGTGCGCGTGGTCTGTTATAATATTACAATTAGGCTACTGTCGGCCTTTCAGCCGAGATAGGTGAGGACAGATTCAGATCAGCTCTATCTCAGACTAAGGTACAAATCAAACGCCATCCGGCCATAGGCAATGTGGAACACAGCCCCAAGCAACCCCGAAAGTGAAGGCTAGAGACTGGTGGAACAGAAATAAGTAGCGGTGCTGCGAGAAAACAGGCATCGGATAGGAGTAGATAACGATTCTCGCGTGCATCGACGGGTGACTTAAGACACAATCCGGTCAGTAAACGTAACATAAAAAGCGCAGCGCAGATGACATACAACGCAGAAACAAAGAAGGCGACAGTGGAATAGGCCAATCGAGTGAGAGACAGAAAGAGAGACATAGAGGAAAAAACATGTCTAAAACTAGTAATTTTACGGTTACATCGGACGAAAAAGGTCTACTTCCACTTGATTTCGTATTTTACATCTTAGTTTGTACATCGAAATATGGGTGTCAAGCAGACACCTGGCGAATACAAACAGACGACCGGTTCAAAAAGGATTGTATGAGAAAATTAAGTTAAGATAAACATTTTGATAAGAGCATGGTAACGATGATGATGTTGACGATGCCAATAAGAGGTTCAAATAGAAAAATATTGACGAAGTAAATGGAAAAAATTAAAACGTTTGAAAATAGATCAGTACGTGATGTTGCGTACCGTGTTGCACAGTAAAAAATGGGGAGCTCTTGGCGGGCGTATCGCTAGACGTATGAAGGATCTTTGAGATGAAAAACGCTTGAATGTTGTTTGGCCGGGCCTATATATATACATATATATCTAGAGAGAGAAAGAGAGAGAGAGAGAGAGTAATTTTACGGTCACATCGAACGAAAAAGATCTACTTCCACTTGATTTCTTAGTTTGTACATCGAAATACGGGTATCAAGCAGACACCTGGCGAATACAAACAGACGACCGGTTCAAAAAGGATTGTATAAGAAAATTAAGTTAAGATAAGCATTTTGGTAAGAGCATGGTAACGATGATGACGTTGACCATGCCAATAAGCGGTTTAAATTGAAAAATTAAAATGATTAAAAATAGATCCGTTCGTGATATTGCGTGCTGTGCTACACAGTAAGAATATGGGGAGCTCTTGACCGGCGCACCGCTAGACGTATGAAGGATCTTTGAGATGAAGGATGCTTGAATGTTGTTTGGCCGGGCCTATATATATATATATATATATATATCTAGAGAGAGAGAGTGTGTGTGTTTGTGTGAGTGAGAGAGAGAGAGAGAGAGAATAATATGGTTATTGTTAACACAAAACAAGAATACTGATAAGACAACTGAATGCACACAAATTACATAAAGCCCACACACAATAATAACTGAGGCATCAAGATGGCCTGCCCACATCCACCCTCCATTACGCAAATGGGACTCCCATTGGGTAAATGGTTCATCGCAGTAGATCACGTGCTACGTCGCTCTCGGCAACTGGCAAGAAGGACACGGGTACATTAATACGAGATAATACCGCAACAACAACAAATAAAATATCCGCAACAAAGTGCTGTAATAACATAATAAATGTGATGGCTCTCTCGGCTGGAAATTGGGAGACATGTTAAGAAAAAAACGAAACTGCGGGTAAGGAGTAAGGTCATCGAGGAGTATGAATGCAGAATGAAGCGTTAAACGATACCAAGTGCTTGCACCCGTTGATGACTGATAGGTACACGCCTCCCTGTGACAACAGCAGCAGCAGTAGCAACGACAACAATAAGCCAGGAAAATCTGGCCCGGCCAATTAGTATCTGTTTGTACCTAGTTCTCCTTCATAATGATAATGATGATGATGATGAGAATAATAATAATTAATGGTCGAGTTTGATGTCGGCAACGAGGGGTTGATTGATCATGATGAGACTAATGAGTATAGTTAATAATAGATATGAATGAATATATATATATGAGGTGTGATGACGAGTTACTAAAGACGGCGAACTTAAAACTAAGATAACAATGGAAAAGACACAATTAATATGGTGAGGGAAGAATGCATTAATTATATCGGATTTATGATAATAACACAAAACCAAATGCAAATGCCGCGGCTATGATTCTTTTGATATAAACGTAGACGCTGGCAGACAGCACGTGGATACAGTGGCTCGCCCACTGTATGAAACAACGACAAGGCTGAATTTCCGTGGAAATAATGGCGATGATGATAAAAAAAAACAGAAGCCCTCAGTCAAGCGGCGCAGGACGGAAACTAGGTGATGCAGTGAAATCTAGAGAGGCTGACGACGTACACAGTTGTATGGCCACCACGGATAATTAATACATGGTATTAAGGCACAAAGAGCGTTAAAATGGACTCGATTGCTGTGTCACCTAGCGACAGTGAGAAGTCGAAAAAAGCAACAAGTCAAACGATAATGACGACAACAACATATTACAATACGACAATTTCACATCGCTCGAAAACCTAACAAATAAATGTTTCAATTTTTACGCCGGATACTTCCATCGTACTCGCCGGCTAACAATCAGCGGCACTAATTGGTGTAAAGAGCACGGTTACATGATGAAAGCACTCAAATTCTCTTTTCCTTTGTTATGGAGAAAGAGGTGTAGGAGATTTAAGGAATAGCACTGAACGTTGCGAAAAGCTAGTGAAAAACAATATAATTTATGGCTAACCAACGGCAACAGCATGCCCGGCAGGGACCACGGAGGAGCGCCATCTGGTCGACGAAAAGGCAATAGCAGAAGCTGCGTTTGCCACGCAAAAAATGTTGCCACACAGCGCGGCAATCCAAATGATTTCCACAAGATAGCAGCAGCAGAACATGAAAGAAGAATGACTGCACACACACATATATATATATATATATGTATATATATATATATGTATATATATATATATATATATATGTATATATATATATATGTATATATATATGT